TCTGAAAGGTGCACATGGCAATTGATAAGAAAAAAATTGATTAAGTGGTATTATTTGCCATTGCGGTAAGGGTCCAATGCGGGGTGGCAAACTTATCCATGACCAAGTGGCACAAGAGTTCCTTCTGTTCTTGTTCATTGATGAACTTGTCCAGGCGATACACCTCGTAAAGAATGCAGTTATACAATGCAATCCACATATGCTCTCTCAAGAGCATGCAAAACAAGAGAGAGAGATAGTGGATGGAGTTGCATGGTGAGAGAGTATAGCATGCAAGCGGTAGAGTTATAACGAGGTTGTATTGGCGACTGGTGCTCATTGTTTCATTACAAATTGTGAACAAATGAACAGATAGACTCGCAGTGTGTGTGTAAATCGTTGCGTGTCCGATGCAAGTAGTTGGTCATCATGCAACCAAGAACATGAAAGGCGAACTCTTGTGCCACCACGCTAGTTGCACTCCTGTATACGAGTCATAGGAGTGCAGCACCAAGAAGGCACGCGAGCACGTATAGCATATGAGGTGCGTTTTGCCTTATGCACAATTGGCCATCATGACATCTTGACGCACAGAATCAAGAATGCGACACCATCTCGCCGTCACGTAACTTCTCTAAGCAAGGTGCTCTGTCTTGGGTAGCTGCATGAAGGATCAATTGCCCATGCGAAACCAGCTTCAATCAGATCCACTTTGGGATGAGCACGCAGCAGGTCTGTCGCGGCATCTCTGAACAAGCGCCGCTTAACTAGTGTCTGCAGAGGCCAGTGCTCTGCTCAGACCATGTCGTTAAGAGGAGTATTCCTGGTTGTATGCGGAGAAATGCGGGACGGAGACTCGACTTCACCACTCATCACTTGTCACATCGGTATGAAGTTACTCGAAAAGGTCTCGCTCGACATGACAAGTAGTAGCAATAGTGCCCCCCAAAGGAGAAGATGACTGATCGCAGAGTCGCACAAGTAGAGGCTGCTCAACTCGCAGGTGAACGTGATGAAAGATAGGTTGTTGCGGAGTAAGGGGGTGGTGAGACAGCTCTGCCCCTTCCCATTTGTGCGATCAGTAAGGTTGGAGAGATTATCAACCCACAAGTGGGGAGCGAAGCAGATTGTGGATTGACTGCCACCGCCCAATAAAGGACGGACATATGTCTGCATACGGCTAGACAACGATAAAGAGAAGGGTCTGCTACCATGAGGCCTGAGATATGATAGAGCAGGGCTGTCCTGTGCTCGGCTGAAGAATAACTGGCTTCGAATTGCTACAGGCTGAACGTCCTTCGGTCTGTGTGAATGACATGAACGTGCGCTACGGCCACGGAGTACTCTGACTGCGAGCCGAGACAGTGGAGCTACACATAGGAAGGGATCTGTCTGAATTCTGCCAAGAGCAAAGATGGCTGGCATAACTTGGGTGCAGGGTTCTTGACCCGAGTGACAGCGCTGTCCACCAAAGTGAGAAGAAGCACGGATCCTAATGGTGCCTCCCCAATTAGCTTTGAGAATAGAGTAGCCAAGCATGGAAACATGACTGGCCGGTACTCCATGCAACGCGGGAGTGGTAAGAAATTTGCCGAAAAGGGATTTGGAGGAGGAACTCCTGATGCTGAGAGGATTTTGCACCGTAACATTGATGCGTATCTATAGCTGGCGAGGCAGCAGGTTGTGTTCAAGAGCACAGCCTCATGCTCAGAAGTAGAAGAGGCCATCCTTGCACGGAGTCCGCATCGATGCCTTGGTGATGGGTGGTGAAGATGATGGTGAGCCCCCAAGAGAAGAAGAAAGAAGGCGCCGTCCGGGGTGAAGCTTAGCTTGGGCTTGTAGGTGGCCAAGGTCCCAAACTAGAGCCAAAGCTGCCATTTGGCATGCTAGCTCCCAAATCCAGGGGGTCCTTGCCTTGCTTTCCCCTCATTCCTTCTCTTTTGGCTGGCTACCATGGCGGCTGTTACCTCTTCCGTCATTGTTTGGTTGCCTTCCCGAGTTGCTGTTTTGCTTCCAATGCCACCCTGTTTTCTTGCCGCACCTTGTCTATCGATGCGATGTTCAGTTACTTATTCGGTAACCTTTTCTCCCTTTTATTCCTGTTACCATGACAATCTTGTCTCCGATTGTTGTTGTTCGAAACCCCTCGCTGCAGTATTCGCCATAGTATCCTTAAAATTCTAACCCCAATTATTATCCCAATCTTCCCCTCTTTGGTCTAGTTTCCCGAACTGTACTTAGTGATTAGTATCCTAGAACTCTTAATTTGGAACACGTTTGCAGTGTTTTTGGAGCTTTGCATGACCGTTCAGTAGGAATTGCCCTTCCATTCGGCTTGGTACTGGATCTTGCTTTATATGGTAAACATCTTTGTTCGGAGGGAAAGAACTATTTAAAGCGGATCCTTTTTAATTACCAATGACCCAGACATGCTTCAAGTTATGCACGGTGTCCACCACACGCATTGTGAACAACGGAGGGTGTAGGTTTGTTAAACGGGCCGTACTGGATCATTGAGCATGCCTTTAACAGATTTGTAAGTACTGTTTCATGGGGAACCAGAAGCTTCGGTGCATAATCCGCAACCTCCCTTCACGATTTGTATCGTAGGGTCGACCTTCGACTTTAATCGATAACCTACCTTGTAGATTGGTATCCTACCTTCAGGTGCGCTTCTCAGATGTAGCTAGAGCCTGATTCTGCGCACCTCTTCTCTGTTGCAGGTGTTAACTCACTTCAAGTCAATTGAACTTGATGTCAATACACTTTGACTTTGTTACCTTGATATCAGTCTCGAGAAAATCCTCACTTTTGCTTTACAGCTTAATCCAAAACCAAATTACCCCTCAATAAGCTGCAGTTTTACTAGCTAACACTGTAATACTCTATCACACTTTATAGTCTCTCGCGGGAGACCAGATCTACGATCCTTTGATGGTGATCTCTCTCGTTGATTAGTTTTCATAGCTTTCTAATCTCTCTCATAACTTTCATTCTCTCAAACACAAAACACTCGAAAGATCTTTACACTAGCTTTTAGCGTAGTGCAATGGGATGACCTCGGTTATGTTGTCTTGCTTCACTATCTCGCTCAAATTCGAAATCCTCTGGATGAAATCCTCTGGATGCATGCTCTGTCGGTCTTTCGAAAACACATCCTAATAACACGACGAGAGACTGATCGAGCTGACACAGAGATGCGAAATATTGAATCGTGTGCGACTGACGTCAGTGACGTCACTGACGTCACAGCCGATCGAACGATTCTGATTGGCTAATGCTCTACGGCGGCTCTACAGCGGTAGTGTACGGTTGGGCGGATGGCGGTACAGCGGTCCTGCTGTACTTTCTGTACCAATCCTTTTATGTTCTGTTATGCGAACTACCGTGTCTGCCAGCTAGAGCTGGATACTGGTACTTCTACATGCCTACTACCAGTACCTCGAGGTAAATGAGCGAAAAAGGGAGTAAATTATTGGAATTTAAAATTGGAATAAACTGAGTTCCACTTGGCTCACCTGTCTCTAAATGGAGACTGTCTCTTTCAGCTGTCTCCTTTTTAGAGATGGCTGTCTCAATTAGGAGACGGCGGTATCCAAAAAGGAGACAGCTACATAATTTGATCTAGGATTTGGGGTAAAACTATAGTTACTATGCAATTATAGCACCTATTATTTCCCAAGCCGCCTGAAAACTGTCTCCAACTTGAGTCAGGTGAGACAGCTGCCTCTAATTGGAGACAGTAAGTGTTTATGTGAGACTGTCTCCTTTTTGAGACAGTGTTCTCTTTGATCATCTTTGATCCAACATCAAAATCACCAAATGGCCGGTGAGCAGACTTGACTGTGGGAAATACCCGAGCCTTAGCTCGTGGGTAGTCCTCAAGCACATCTCGTCTGAATCCGTTATTAGACGTTCAGTTTTTTTCACTTTTTGTTTTACTTTTTTCTCAAAGCCAACCTTTTACCCCGAGGTGCAGGTGCTACTAGCTAGTACTCCTACCGGTAGTAGAATGATTTTGGGAAAGATCTCCACTCTGGATCCAGCAAAAAATGAGGCTGCAACAATAATATTATTGCAAAGATTCGATTCATCATTCGTCATCGAATCGAATCGAATCGAGTGTAAGAAGATTCATCAAAAGATGACCCAAATAAATGACCCTTTTGGTCCGCAAAGATCCATTTCAGTCCAACATCACCACCGCCCTCATTTCTCACAACAGACGGTCATCGCAACAACAATTGAAGAGAGGACCGGTACAGACACCCCTCCTCTTGACTCGCTTGTTTGTACCCATTGGAAGGCATGCCTCCCAAGAAGAAAGTCTCACCCAAATCCAGTAGTAGTAGCAGCAGCAAGAAAAGTAGCACTCCTTCTCCAGCCGCCAGCAGCATGAAGACGACGGCGACCGCTCGAAAGACGGCCTCTCGATCTCGGGCGGCTCCTGCCACTTTGAGGGCAGGTGGAGCAGCACCACCACCATCTAACCGAACACGACCAGCCGCCGGTCGCAACGGTAAACCCTTGAAACCGGCCATTCGCAAGACAACAGTCGCCCCGGCACGCAAACGACCGACTGCTACAGGCACTGCTGCCGTTCCAAAAGTTCGAAAACGCTTTGTGCCCCCACCACCGCCTCCCATGTATTGGATCTGCTATGACTTTACCGTCAAATTAGTGCGAGGGTTGTGTCTGGGAGTGGCCATTGGGTTGGTACTGACCGTGGTGGTGCCGTGGATGTTGGACACGGGATACTTTTTCTACGACAAGGTCCAAGATGGCGATTTGGTCATTACTGTTTCCGACTACTTGTCCAATGTGTCACTGCCTTCACTATCGTGGAATGAAACCTCCAAAAAACTCTGGCGGGTCGATCAGAGCTCCTCACAACAACAAGGAGCAGGACATAAGCATTCGTCCTTTTTGCGACACACGCCGGCACCCACACGAGATCCCAAACTGGTCGCCGACGAACACTTGGCACGCACGTTTTCACGTCGCAATCGAACCATTACTGTGGTGCATGTCGGTCATACCGGTGGTCGATCACTCATGGAAATCTGTCCGCAAGTCTCTTGTCAGGAACGATTTGCCAATGATCCTACACACGAATTGTTAAAAACCTGTCTGGAAACAACGACTACAGGCAGTCGCAACAAACTTTCACCATTGTCCCGACAAGCCAAACATTACTTTCATTTGGGTGCCATTCAAGACACGGCACTGCAACAATCGACCACCTTTTTATTTACCCTTCGCAATCCCGTCGATCGCATGCTCGCTATTTTTGCCGAGGCGCATCCTCTTTCGTGTACTCCCGACGCTGCCTTACAACCCCAACAACCCTGGGGGTGCATGACGAAACAATACTGGAACATGCCCGGGACGCAACAATATTCTTTTTATATAAAATGCTTTCCCCAACCACAACCCGAAGCCTTTTGTCAAGCGACACGGTTTCCATGGTCGGACGAATTGAAACAACAACCAACGATTGAAACGGCACAACAACAAAAACACGATTGTCGATGGATGGCCCGGGAGTTTGCCATGGGAGAAAACGAAAATGACATTTCGTTGGCGCCCCACGCGTTTCACAATTACGAATATTACGCCGACAAGACCGTACGAAGTAATTTAAAAGCCCACGAAATTTTGGCTGTACGAGCCGAACACGAAGCGGACGATTTGCGATGGTTGCATTTGCTCATGGGAGGCGACGGTGGCGCCGTCTTGCCAACCCCAAAGACGGTCGTCATTCCGACCGTGTCGGCACAAGCCTACCAGAAACTCTGTTGTGTCTTGCACAAGGAAATTGCACAGTACGAGACCATTTTGAAACGAGTGGCCAATCTACCGGATTATCAAAAAGAAGAATCCATGATGGATTTGCAACAAAAGTGCGGAATTGCCCAAAATACCGAATCGATGTGGTCCACGTGGAGATCCGAGTGTGAGAATCAATTGCAAATGGACGAAGTCGTCTTGTCGCCATTTACGCCGTAGCGAGGGGGTTCCTTTTGACTTAAATGATGATTCGTGTTTTTCTTCAAAACGGAATTTTAAAAGTCATGACCTCGATTGCGAGACGAAATGGGGAGCAAGAAAACGGGCAACAATCGAGTTGTACCGTAGGAAATCGACGGTAGCCACCAAGGCTCGAGAGCTTTTGTTCTCGTCAAGACGGGGAAGGAGCATCCAGTGCGAAAATGATTGAATTTGATCAGCGCCAATTATCGAATCAACTAGTAGCCCCTCTGCAATGGAACCTCGATCGTCGCGAGCGAAAGAGTCCTCTCCGAGTTTTCCCTCAAGCTATTCGCTCGTGTAGCCATTTAATTAATCCTTTCGAACCTACAATCCCAACCAGCTAGCGTAGTTCTCAATGCAGCTACCTATATCCAGACGACCCTGTTAGCTCGTCACGGGGTGGGTCTACGTGCAAAAACCACTCGTGTTTCGGTGCAGGAGTACAGCATGTTCGTGGCCTGTAAGAACTGTCTACCGGTATGCGTAGCGACGAGCCGATGCATGGGTTATTGCTGGCGCAATCAAAAATTTGGCATCCGCTGAGTAGTCGGCAGCCCGGAATTTTGTTGAGGCCTGCGGTTGCCTTAATTTGCTGGCACAAAGAATTGTCAATAATGATGTGCAGCAGACAAAAGTCAAATGTATTATATATCGTTTAAAAAGGAGAACTCTCAGCAAGAACCACCCATGCATCAACATTCGCAATCACATCCACAAAGCAAATTGGAACAATCAAAGTCTATCGAACACTCTTCCTCATCATAAAAGCAAGAGGAATTTTGAAGGAAACAGAGCTCTTCTGGGATGGTCCCTATCAGACCAGGACTGCCAGAGATATTCAGGTAACCCAGGCTGCTGGGCAAGGAACCAAACGGAAATGGTCCTCTCAGGGAGGGTGGACTGGATGAAAGATCCAGTTCCTGAAGACTTTCGAGCTGCCCCAATTCGGAAATGACCAAACCAACAAAGGAGTTGTTGCTGAGGTTCAGTGTCTGTATTGATTCCATCAGCCCAAGCTCGCTGGGAATAAACCCAGAGAATGAACAATCATTGAGCCACAGACCCGACAGCTGTGTAAGCAACCCAGCTTCACTGGGCAACGGTCCACCAAATGCATTGCTTCTCAGGCTTAGCAATGTCATTTGAGTCAGCATCCCAGCATCAGTTGGCAGGGAACCAGAAAGTGAATTGCTTCGAAGACTCATACTAATCATGCTGGTCAGTCTTCCAAACTCGGATGGGAAGAATCCTGTGAAGGAATTCTCATAAAGAGACATTCTTTCGATGCTGGTTGCTAGGCCAAGCTCACTTGGCAAAGTGCCAGTGAGTACATTCAGATACAGGTACATTCTTTCCATGCTTGTTGCTAGGCCAAGTTCACCTGGCAAAGTGCCAGTGAATGCATTTCGGTGGAAGTACATTCGTTCCAATTGACTTAACATCCCAAGTTCAGTTGGCAGAGGACATGTGAAGGAATTGTCGTCAAGGTAAATTCGTGTCAATTGAGCTAACATCCCAACTTCACTTGGCAGGCAAGCTGTGAAGGCATTGTCAGAAAGATACATTTTTTCCAATTGAGTCAATCTTCCCAGCTCAGATGGAAAACTGCCACTGAGAGAATTCTCCTGCAGATCTAGCTCAGTCATGCTGGTCATCAGTCCAAGCTCTGTTGGCAAAGGGCCCGTGAAAGCATTTTCGTGAATTTCCATGTGTTCTAAACTGGTCAGCTTTCCCAGCTCTGATGGAAGGGTTCCACAGAGGGAGCTTTCATAAGCATAAAACTCTATCATGCTTGTCATCAGCCCAAGCTCGGTTGGTAAAGATCCTTGGAACGCATTGTGGAAAATTCGTAGGTCTTCCAAGCTTGTCAAAAGCCCAAGCTCAGATGGGATGGGTCCACCAAAAGCATTTAGGGCAGGCTGGAAATCAGTCATGCGTGTCAAGAGCCCAAGTTCAGTTGGCAAAGTGCCAGTGAACTCATTCCCCCAAAGGTACAGTCTTACCAAGCCGGTCAATCCTCCGGCCTCAGATGGTATGCCACCATTCAAAGAGTTGCTGGAGGCAAGAAAACCAGTCATGCTGGACATCAGCCCAAGCTCAGTTGGTAAGGTACCAGTGAACTCATTCTGCCAAAGGAAGAGTCCTTCCAAGCTTTTCAACCATCCTAGCTCAGATGGAAAAATGCCACTGAGAGAGTTCTCATGAACATCAAGCTCAGTCATGCTGGTCATCAGTCCAAGCTCTGTTGGCAAAGGGCCTGTGAAAGCATTTTCGTGAATTTCCATGTGTTCTAAACTGGTCAGCTTGCCCAGCTCTGATGGTAGGGTTCCACTGAGGGAGCTTTCATAAGCATAAAACTCTATCATGCTTGTCATCAGCCCAAGCTCGGTTGGTAAAGATCCTTGGAACGCATTGTGGAAAATTCGCAGGTTTTCCATTCTTGTCAAAAGCCCAAGCTCAGATGGGATGGGTCCACCAAAAGCATTTCAGGGCAGGCTGGAAATCAGTCATGCGTGTCAAGAGCCCAAGTTCAGTTGGCAAAGTGCCAAGTGAACTCATTCTCCCAAAGGAAGAGTGCTTCCAAGCTTTTCAACCATCCTAGCTCAGATGGAAAAGTGCCACTGAGAGAGTTCTCATGAACATCAAGCTCAGTCATGCTGGTCATCAGTCCAAGCTCTGTTGGCAAAGGGCCCGTGAAAGCATTTTCGTGAATTTCCATGTGTTCTAAACTGCCCAGCCTGCCCAGCTCTGATGGAAGGGTACCATTCAAGGAGTTTTCATAAGCATGAAACTCTTTCATGCTTGTCATCAGCCCAAGCTCGGTTGGTAAAGATCCTTGGAACGCATTGTGGAAAATTCGCAGGTTTTCCATTCTTGTCAAAAGCCCAAGCTCAGATGGGATGGGTCCCCCAAAAGCATTCAGGGCAGGCTGGAAATCAGTCATGCGTGTCAAGAGCCCAAGTTCAGTTGGCAAAGTGCCAGTGAACTCATTCTCCCAAAGGAAGAGTGCTTCCAAGCTTTTCAACCATCCTAGCTCAGATGGAAAAGTGCCACTGAGAGAGTTCTCATGAACATCAAGCTCAGTCATGCTGTCATCAGTCCAAGCTCTGTTGCAAAGGGCCCGTGAAAGCATTTTCGTGAATTTCCATGTGTTCTAAACTGCCCAGCCTGCCCAGCTCTGATGGAAGGGTACCATTCAAGGAGTTTTCATAAGCATGAAACTCTTTCATGCTTGTCATCAGCCCAAGCTCGGTTGGTAAAGATCTTGGAACGCATTGTGGAAAATTCGCAGGTTTTCCATTCTTGTCAAAAGCCCAAGCTCAGATGGGATGGGTCCACCAAAAGCATTCAGGGCAGGCTGGAAATCAGTCATGCGTGTCAAGAGCCCAAGTTCAGTTGGCAAAGTGCCAGTGAACTCATTCTCCCAAAGGAAGAGTGCTTCCAAGCTTTTCAACCATCCTAGCTCAGATGGAAAAGTGCACTGAGAGAGTTCTCATGAACATCAAGCTCAGTCATGCTGGTCATCAGTCCAAGCTCTGTTGGCAAAGGCCCGTGAAAGCATTTTCGTGAATTTCCATGTGTTCTAAACTGCCCAGCCTGCCCAGCTCTGATGGAAGGGTACCATTCAAGGAGTTTTCATAAGCATGAAACTCTTTCATGCTTGTCATCAGCCCAAGCTCGGTTGGTAAAGATCCTTGGAACGCATTGTGGAAAATTCGCAGTTTTCCATTCTTGTCAAAAGCCCAAGCTCAGATGGGATGGGTCCACCAAAAGCATTCAGGGCAGGCTGGAAATCAGTCATGCGTGTCAAGAGCCCAAGTTCAGTTGGCAAAGGCCAGTGAACTCATTCTCCCAAAGGAAGAGTGCTTCCAAGCTTTTCAACATCCTAGCTCAGATGGAAAAGTGCCACTGAGAGAGTTCTCATGAACATCAAGCTCAGTCATGCTGGTCATCAGTCCAAGCTCTGTTGGCAAAGGGCCCGTGAAAGCATTTTCGTGAATTTCCATGTGTTCTAAACTGCCCAGCCTGCCCAGCTCTGATGGAAGGGTACCATTCAAGGAGTTTTCATAAGCATGAAACTCTTTCATGCTTGTCATCAGCCCAAGCTCGGTTGGTAAAGATCCTTGGAACGCATTGTGGAAAATTCGTAGGTCTTCCAAGCTTGTCAAAAGCCCAAGCTCAGATGGGATGGGGCCACCAAAAGCATTTAGGGCCGGCTGGAAATCAGTCATGCGTGTCATGAGCCCAATGTCGCTTGGTAAGGTACCAGTGAAGTCATTCTCCCAAAGGTGCAGCCTCGCTAAACTTGTTAGTCCTCCGATCTCAGATGGTATGCTGCCATTTAAGTAGTTGTGAAAGGCAAGACAATCCTTCATGTTGGTCAGGAGACCAAACTCACTCGGCAACGTTCCAGTGAGTGCATTAAGATGTAGGTACATCCTTTCCAGTTGTGTCAACATCCCAATTTCACTCGGCAGAGACGCAGCACATGCATTGTCATAAATGTACATTTGCTCCAACTGACTCAACAGTCCAAGTTCACTTGGCAGAGATCCTGTGAAAGCATTCTCATGTATGTGCAGTTTTTCCAATTTAGCCAAACTTCTGAGCTCAGATGGCAACCTGCCACTGAGAGAGTTCGCATGGACATCAAGCTCAGTCATGCTGGACATCAGCCCAAGCTCAGTTGGAAGAGATCCTGTGAAGGAATTCTCATAAAGGGATAGTTCTTCCAGGTTCTTCAACCTTCCAAGCTCAGATGGCATGCTCTCATTGAAAGAGTTCCCATAAATCTGCAGCTTTGTCATGGTGGTCATCTGTCCTAGCTGGCTTGGTAAAGGGCCCGTGAAAGCATTGCGATACATGGACATTCTTTTCAGGCCAGTCATCCTTGCAAGCTCTGATGGAAGGGTACCACTGAAGGAATTCACAGAAGGCTGAAAATCATTCATACTGGTCATAAGACCAAGCTCACTCGGCAAAAAACCTGTGAAATCATTCTGAAACAAGTACAGTTTTTCCAAGCTGGTCAGTCTTCCCAGCTCAGAAGGGATGGTACTAGTCAGAGAGTTTTCGGCAGGCTGGAAGCCAGTCAGGCTTGTCATCAGCCCAATCTCACTTGGCAAAGAGCCACTAAAGGCATTTTGATATATCCTCAAATCTTCCAACCTGGTTAGCCTTCCAAGCTCAGACGGTATTGTGCCATTGAGAGAGTTGACATAAACATACAGTTCAGTCAAGCTGGTCATAAGACCAAGCTCAGTTGGAAGAAAGCCAGTGATTGCATTGTAATCAATAGACAAAACCTCGATGCTGTCCAAAGCCCCAAGCTCAGTAGGTATGCTACTTATGAAGCCATTCTGCTTGAAGGCAAGTATTTTCATGTTGGACATGAGCGCAAGCTCACTTGGCAAGGAACCTGAGAATGAATTCTCTTGAATGAAGAATCTCTCCATGTTTTTCAGAAGCAAAAGCTCGGTTGCCAAACTCCCAGAGAAGGAGTTCATACTAAGAGTCAGATCTGTCAAACTTGTCAGCAGACCAATTTCAGTTGGCAGTTTCCCTGTGAGCTCATTGTTGTGAAGATTCAGTGCCTTTAATTCTTTGGTGAACAGCTCAGATGGCAAGATGTCATCAAAAGAACCACTGATGTCATTCAAGGGCAACGCCAAGACAACCAAGTCAGTTAGAAGCTCTATCTCAGGTGGAATAGTTGGGGCTAAACCGCTAAGCTGCAAGTTTGCGAGTGTAAGGCTTTGAAATCTTCTGTCCGAGTTGCATGGCTCAACCTCAAATGATGTCCTGCGCTCCTTGTAATAGCCTTCAGGGGAAAGTGACCCAAACTCATTGGAGAACCATAGGCACTCATCCTCAAACTTGCCCTCATCCTTCATCCAATCATTCCTGATATCAGCAGGCCAGTTGGGCCCCTCAAATGCATAGTAGAATGTGGCCAAAGCAAAGAGTTGTTTCATCCTCCAGTCTTCCAGACTAGTGAGATTCTTGTGATTTGATAGCCAATTCCATGCTTCGTATTGAGGGTTGCTTCCATTCAGAATACGTGCCTGCGTAGAGCTTGGAAGCTCTGTAAAGACAAAATCCAATTGGCTGGTGGGGGAAGAGGATGGGACTCCAGAGGGCTCCATGGACAAATAGACTGTAGGGGCCTCTGTGGAGAAAACGATTTCATTCTTCGTGGTAGAAAGTCCCCATCCAAGTCCAACAGCAAGAACCAGCAGTGATATAGCAATGATACACATGCCATATCTTCGACATTCTGTTTCTTTTTGTTCCTTTATGCGCTTTGCTTCCAGCTCTGCTTCTAAGCCTGCATCATCCACTTCTTGAGCTTCTGGAAGGATGGGGCAATCGGAGCCATCTAGTACTGGCCTCGCTTCTACCAGTCCAGCATTGGGGTCATTGTTAGTAGTGGTTTCTGAAATCATTTGAGGTGGCAGAGTGTCTTGTCCCGAACCAGCTTCCAAATCTTCATTTACAGAAGATTCCTTTGGACCTTCGACTACTGTCGACTCGGTTTGAGAAGTGACAGCCTGATTTTTCCGGAGACCCCTCAATGTGACAACGCTGCTGGTAAGAGTGCTGGTCGTGTTGATGGTGAGCAGCTGCTGAGAAGTCACTGGGATAGCTTTGCCTCTTTGGGATCTAGTCTGAAACTCTGAAGCGTTTTGACGTAGTCCATGCTTGATGTTGGTTTGCGCAGATATGTTGGCTGAGACGACCACCGAGGATGTTGCTGTATCCCCAGCACTGGTGAAGCCCTGTCCATTTGCTTCTGATAGTCTTGGTGTGCCCCCCATGGTAGGAATTTCATCCACACCCACATCACCTGGACTTGATGAATTCGACTGGATGGCACCAGCAGCCTCGATCTTTTCTCCAAATGCTTGTGGGCTTCGGTGTAGCCCATGCTTTTTAATATGGGCATTTGGTGAGTTCCCCACATGTGCTGTAGTGGATATCATTGTGGTGCTTCCCGCAGTAGCATCGGTAGCACTACCGCTCGCCGCCACAAACTGTGCTCCGGGCTGCACGGCCACAGGACCTCTTTTTCCTTGCAACCCCTTCTTAAGATTGGCAGTGTCCTCAGCTGGAGTATGCGCTGTAGGGGCATCGACATTAGCATCCTTGGCAACCCCAGAACAGCTCGCTTTGGCGGCCTGTTTGGCAGCCTTTTCTTCTTCAGTTCGCTTTAGTCCTCGGCCACCAGCTTTGCTTGGAACTGCAGATTTATCGACTGTGGCATTGCCATTACCGATTGCAGCGGATGTTATCTTTTCAGCCTCTTGTTCCGCAGATCTTTCGAGACCCTGTGTAGTTGTGTTTTCTGTAAGAGCAAGCTTAGTCTCATTTTCCATTCCTTTGGCTGCTGTCACACGTGCTTCCTTGGCATTCTTTTGTCGTTGTTGGCTCCTTGCCAAGACGGCTCCAGGAAGGCCCATACTAGCAGCAGAAGTTCCAGTAGTTCCAGCAGAACTTGCATGTCCAATGCTCGCTCTAGCGGCTTCTTTTGCAGCGTGTTCTTCGGCCATTCGTTGTACACTACCACCTAATGTTGAGGAAGGCTCCTTGTTGCTGGTAGTTGTGATGACACTGGCAGTCGCAACTTCTTCAGCAGCAGATCTTTTAGCAAGCTTGGTCTCATTTTCCATTCCTTTGGCTGCTGTCACACGTGCTTCCTTGGCATTCTTTTGTCGTTGTTGGCTTCTTGCCAAGACGGCACCAGGAAGGCTCGTACAAACAGCAGAAGTTCCAGTAGTCCCAGCAGAACTTGTACGTCCCATGCTGGCTCTGGCGGCTTCTTTGGCAGCGCGTTCTTCGGCCATTCGTTGTACACTACTGCTTAATGTTGGGGAAGGCTCCTTGTCACTGGTAGTTGTGATGACACTGGCTTGACTGCCAGCGTTGGCCATGTCGTCCTTTGGTTCTTGGATTGTGGATTTGGTGGAATCGCCATTCATAATCGTGGTCGGTCGTGGCGTTAAGCCTTTAGTTAACAATCGCTCCTCTTGGCGTAAGCTTTTAACAGATCGATCAGGAGGGGGGATACAGAAGAGATAAAGAGATCGACTTAAGTATAATACAGGGACTATACTGGAATGCCGGTACAATGCTGATGAGAGACTCGATTTGGATTCCTTTGAGTGTTGAGCCAGTTTTGCTCTCTACTTTTGAATTCTAGCTCTAGCGAAAGTGGACCCGTGTTGTCCAAGTGTTAGTTGTATCGTCTCCTCGAAACTGTGTTGTTGCACGAGGTTGTTGTGTTGTTGGCTGCATGCAGTGTGACCTTCAACTTCCACCTTACCTCCTCACCGAGGCCACCGACTGCGCAGTTTTCGGTCATGTTAATTCATCCCACCGGTCATTATTGTGTTCGCAAAGGGCATTTCGCACCTACCTTACGTTTAAGACTACAGAAGCTAAGATGCCACGTACAGTGTACAGTCGTACTAGCTAGAACTGAGATTTGCCAGTATCCAATGATTCGATTGGGGGGTTTAGAGTAGGTGGATTATCTACAGAAGCCATGCAGCGAGGGCCAGGCTTTTTAAAAAGCAAAGAAGAGGCGAAATTCAGGACTAGGTTCTGTGGGATCAGGGGCAAGAAATAGAGTGCCAGTTCGGGGGCCAAAGGGTTTGGCTTTGCGAGATCCACCAAGACATAGATGGGTAGCTTTCACTAGGGCAATAGAGATGCGGGTCTGTGATGATTCGATTGGTTCAATTTCAGCATCCTCGCAACGCTCATATCTTTGCCGGCCAAGATACTCAGTGAGTATATGCTCTCCTTTGGAACTTTCGGAACTTTTAGATAGAGTCTTGAGAGACGATAGAATAATGGTCCTGTATTTTCTACAAGGAAATGTCTTGGCATGCAACAAACTTTGATTATTCCATTTTCTTCCTTCGGAACATGATGTACTGTTTTTGCTCTCTTTGGCCTCCCGTAGGGAATGCTTAGTAAGTTGGAAAGCAGAGTGGAACTGTCTCATTAGGAACATCTTCCAATGGCATCACACTGATAGGTTCAGTATAGAATATTTGTGTTACTGCTTGATGATGTATGCGAACATGTACCGGTACTAGTACCAGGATAGCTTTCAAGATTTGCACGAAACGTTGTAGAGGGGAATTACCCGCTATCTAATTAAGAAGGGAGGAGTGCATACTGGTAGCTTCCGGGCACAAGCATAATATCCGTTATGGGACCCGGTCCGGGAATTTGTGCGTCTTTGCTTGCAGGCAGAACCTCAGAGACAGCCGAGTGACATGCAGGCAAGCATAGACGATGCTCCAGCTAAGAGCTAGTGTTAGTAGCAAGCCAACACAACGGCACCATTCTGACAGGCTCTAAAGTACTCTGAACAAAACGATCTGCCTGTTGATGGATCAGGCAAAGAAATCCTTGGTTAGTTACATGTATCATAGATCGGGAGAATGATCCAATACAATCCAATACAATACAATTGGGGCCTAGCTGAGATGGCGGGCTGGGGAGCCGTCAACCTTTTAGAATCGATTCGATTCGATGCAGAAGAGAAGTGCTTGATTTGAGGACAACCCATGCATGAGCCAAGTGTCCCTCCCCAGCAGGGGTTTTCCCACGGCCAAGTGGGTTTGCTCACCTCTTTGTGACGCATTTTAGCTCCCGAGGTCTGCTTTCTATTTTAACATATCGCTGGCTTGTATGTCTAGTCTCAACGGATTTAGGAGCCTTTTTACAAGACTTATGTTCGGCGACCGCCAAAAAGCAGCATTGGAAACCAAGCAAGCACCCTCCAACCCATCATCACATCAAAACTTTGGAGCGAGTCGAGTTGTTGGCATTGCCGTCTTGAGGATCCCACTGTAACAGTATAGCACATGCATTGGACGGACCATGCATGTTTTGAACGGCAGGTAGGAGCCAATTAGCTAGTTAGAGAGCCAGTGAGTAAAGAAGAGACCTAGTAGTTGGCGAGAGCAAAATCACCAGATCAAAAGTAGTGTCATTGTCCATCCCCACAATCTACAGTGATCCGTCCGTATCATGCCCAAGATGCCGAGACTTGCAGGTACTAGTCCCCGGACTCCTTTGATGTCTCCCAAGATGATGAAGAGTCCTCGGTCTCCGTATTCTTCTTCCGAACGAGGCGGAGTCTTTGCCTTGCTCTTTCGGTTCTCCCAGACGATGATGTTCTTGCTTGGGTTGACCTACACCATTATCGTGCTCATGCCACTGCTTCAGCGTCAAAATGCCATTCTGCAGGGCAATCTCAGTAGTTCATCAACAGCAGCATCATCTACACTGTCATTGCTAGAAGGATTCCAATGGAAAAGCCCCCAAAACAACCAAAGCTGTGACAGCCATCACCACCACACTACACCCACTTCTATTGTCATCCCGCACAACCCCAATCGCACCATTACACTGGTCCATGTTGGCAAGGCGGGTGGTGTCAGTTTGCGTCGCATGACGGTCATTTTCTGCAAACTATTCTTTACCCGCAAAAAGCACTACACACCCGAAACAGTCGCTCGAAAGTTTGAAAAATGCGTCGATTTGCAATTTGCCAATTCCACCGCCTTGGCCCATTTGACCAAACATTACTTTCATTTGGAGGAGTATTCCACACAAGAATTGGAAGAATCCACCTCCTTTTTGGTCACACTCCGAAATCCCGTCGATCGCATCATTTCGGCGTACCGCTTTAGCCATCCGGGTAACTGCAACGACGGCAATCGCAACGAAATATGGCATCCCCGTGGCTGTGAAGCCGAAAAACATCGGGATCAACCGGGGCTGATTCAAAACCGAATTCTCTACGATTGTTTTCCTTCGCCGGCCATGGAAGAATTCGCCCAAGCCATTTTACGACCGTGGCGACGAGGGACATTCGGACCCAACTTGACCAAGGACGAACGACGCGAATGCCGTTGGCTCGCACGAGAAATGGTGCAGGGATCGGGAACCTGGGGATCCGGACCGCACATGTTGTACAATTATGCCTTTTATGCGCAACGGAGTATTTGGAAATACCCAACCAAGGAAGTGTTTGGGGTCAGAACCGAACACGAATTGGAAGATATCGTGGCGTTGGACGCACTGTTGGGAGGCAATGGGCAATTTCGCGAAAATGCCGAAGTCTCGCATGGCAGTGAGGGATATGTCGCATCACCCCTGTCGACCGAAGCATACCAGAAACTATGTTGTGTGTTGGAAATGGAAATTGATGTCTATCAAGATTTATTACAGCGAGTTCTGAATCTCAACCAAACCGCCAAGCAAGAGACTGTGGACAGCTTGCGACACAAGTGCGGAATTACGACGACGTGGACAGAATGGAGAGTCATGTGTCGCAAGAAACTAAAAAAGGACCTGAGGGTGTTGAAGCCATCGCTCGTGGTCAACGAAACCAAATTGGTGCGGGTAAGAGACGACGGTCCGCAACAGGGGGGTCCACTGTAACGTAACAGCAAGTGACAGCTTATGGTATTAAACATGACAAATATTCGGGGGAGATATTGACGTCGCCTGCTAGGCAGCCTCTCTTCGCGGTTTCAATTGTTTGGAGAAGTCGAATTATAGTGGCTTCCCGTGCGATTTCTTGGAAAGAAATCATTTCGTTAGCGGAGCACCGACTCAGTCGCAGTCAGATCGTTTGGAGCTCGAGCATCACTGGTAACTAAAATTTGACCTCTCAACTACGTCTTGCAACCTAAACGATTCCCGATGAATGGTATCTCCTCTGTAATTGCGGCTCGGTGGGGTCGTGCAGCATTGAAGATCATTTATCCAAGACGTTGCGCGACCTTGGTCGCAGCTTGTAGCGCACCTTCGTTTGATATCCAATGTCCAGGTTGTCCCAACCTACTACGGCAAACAACGGGATGCTATCTAGTAGCTACTCTGTGTGGTAGCTAACTCTGAGATCCGGCTCTGGCTAGGAGTATCTTCAGCAAAAAAATTCAGTCACGGTCCTGGAAGTGTCATCGAAAAGCAAAGGGTTTCTCGAGCGTTGGGGTCGGTCACAGTTGTTGCCTCATCATCCCCATCCCAACCCATAATCTCCACAAGAAAAGTTCAAAACGTCGATTAAGCCTTTCAGTAGCGTTTCAGAAAAATCTCTTCACCATTTTCAACATGTTGGCATTCACAACCCTGATCTCTTTTGTCCTTGTTGCGGGTGTTACAGCTCAAGAGTGCAGTTCTGATGTTGACTGCCCAGCGAACTGGGATTGCATGGGAGGAGGTCCATTTGGATTGGGCAAGAAAAGATGCTTTGCTTTGAGCTGTGCCAAAGGTGCTGCTCAGGCCTTCCTCGAAACTGGTTTTGATGCAGATGAATTCATTGGCACCATCAGGAGTGCGACGGGCCTCAAAAACAGAGACTTCATGGGTTTTAATGCTGACAATGACAAGAACAGTCTCTTATCGGAAGCATTTGCATCAAATCAACCTAATCTTGATGTCTTCACCGCAAACTTTACTGCGTGTGCCAATCCTCCAACAAACGTCCGTCGTGGTCGAGAGCTTCAAACTGGACTTTTTAGCTTGACTATGACTGGTATTCAGTGGAGTGGTGCAGCTGCAATTGCCTACTTTGGAAAGTCTACTTGGGGTTCATCAGGCGGCGTAGGCTTGCAACTTGTTTCCAACTGTCTTGGTGCCCTGATTGGTGCTGATGTCGGCTTTGATTATCTGATTCAAATCGTCCAGGGAACCGATTCTACACTAGTCGATACTTTATCCGATACTTCATCCGATACTAAGCAGAATACAGTCAATCCGGGCAACAGTTGGATGCTTCCCTTTGTCACTGCGATTCCGCTTGGCTTTCAGTACGGAGTTCTCGATGCTAGTGATGGTAAGCAAGATTACACAGAGCGAGAGCGAGTGGTCACACCATGAGTTGACTAATCATTTCAAATTCTGTTCTCGAATCGAACCCTTTAAACGATGACAGGCTCTGGCGATTACAGTATTCTTGAGGTAAGAAATCCTGGTGGTTGGCTGCTGCATAAACTTCGCGTGCGTGAGATTCTTGCTTACCAGCCACAATGCTTTGGTTGTACTTGGTTGCCTCTGCTTCCTTACCACCAACAGATCAGCTTTGGCCCATCTGTTGGTGCTTCCGTGCTTGGATATACTGCCTGCCTCAATCAGCTGACAAGCTCTCAGTAGCTCCTTTAGACTTGTTGTTAGTTGTATTCTTGTGTTTGATGGATGGGCGACTCTTAGATGGTTTTGCTTGATCTCTACCAAGCAGTTCGAAACGTTTCAAGGCACGGTGAGGTACATCGTACGAGTACGAGTATGTCAAAGTCGAAAGGACGTGAATACCAAGGTGGCGTTTCAAGGACTGGCGAAGTACCAGTACGAACAATCTCCGTGGAGAAAGCTTTATCGTGCAGTACATTGCGTATTAGTAGGAAATTGGTTAGTTGTTAGTTCCCTTTGGGAATGTAGAAAAGAAATGGATCGAGCTGGCCAGAGTAGTTCCCGTGGCTAACTGTGAGCTTCTCTCTCGCAAAGTACCTGGTACTAGTACGTTTCCGATTTGTTGCCCTTCGCTGCAGGTGGCTTTCTCTCTCGCAAATTATCCTGGCTTGAAGTCGGTCCGTTCAGCCTTCAGTCTTGCATCTTGGTTGTTCTCTCGGCAGCAAGTTTCGGGACGAAGTGACTGACTGTTGACAGCGCACCTTTGCAAAGCGACAGCGGAAGTTGATTGCATCGGTGAACCCTTTCGCAACGTCTGCCTACAGCTGTACGCGCACCTGACTTGGATCTCCGTAACGGGTTCGGACCAAACAAAGAAGATGGCCCAGAAATACCAACGCAGCCCGAAAGATGTCACCTTTGCCTGAATTGCTTCTGGGCGGCACGTGCACCTCTTTCCGACAACCTCGTGTTCTTGCACTCCGCGTACATCGTAAGCATGATCAAATACAGCATAAATACAGCCGCCAAAGGTCCACCGACGGTAGAAGCACAATGTCTTCGAGCACCTGCTGCACTTCGGGCAATCACGGCTGTGCTCACAGATTTAATTCTCCATTCGTTTTTGTGGCGGTTGAACGGTTGTGCGGAAGTAAGATGAGTGTTCAAGTGATGAAACACAACGCTGCAAAGGACGGCCATCACCTTCCAAAAACCTCCACTGTTGGTGCAAAGTTCACAACTTGCCGAACATCTGATTCATTCAGTTTTCGACTGGAGTACTAGCCGCGGCAACAATGTTATTCTGCCTTGGGCGTGTCACCGTGGGACAATGGGTTGCGGCCCTGGCCTTTTCCCTTCTCCTTATGCCTGTGTCGGCTCAAGAGTGTGGTTCAGAAATTGACTGCCCCCAAAACTGGGATTGCATCAAAACTAGTCTTTTTGGTAAAAGGCGCTGCTTTCCTGTGAGTTGTGTTAGAGGTGCTGCTGAAGCCATAGTAGCGGATGGTTTTGATGCTGAAGTGTACCTTGATGATATCAGGACCATGACAGGGATGACACGGAACAGAGACTTCATGGGGCTCGATGCTGATAGCGACAAGAGCAATAGTCTTGCAGAAGCTTTTAAACTTTCCCCCCCTCCCTTGGCTCAATTCAATGCGAATTATACAGCATGTGCCTATCCGACTGGGAATCTTCGTCAGCGAGAGCTCCAATTTAGTCAAGGTGACACCTGGACTGGGATACAATTGAGTGCAGCTGCAGCCGTCTCCTACTTTTTAAAGTCTACTTGGTATGAAGGAACTCTTGCAGATTATCAGATACTGTCGAACTGTATTGGTGCTCTTGTTGGTGCCGATGTTGGTTTGGATCTGCTGCTTCAGGTCTTTCAGGAGGGAAGTGGCTTTGCTCCAGCAATCAGTGAGGAAGAGGACCCCAGTCGGCAGATAACAATTACCGACACCGGTGTCTTCGAGTGTGTTCCTGTCACTACTATTGCCATTTTTGGTATCCAGGTTTGTTGGGACCAAGCTTCGGGAGCAGATGCCGGCCAATTTGTCGAGGTGAGTGTTGTGGACCTGATTTATCGTGATTAATTGCTGGGCAAGTGTTTTGGTGGTCTCACTTGCTAGATTCTCTGAATGAATTATCCAACAGATTACCTTTGGGCCAAGTTTTGGGGCTGCCCTTGGAGGCTACTCTGTTTGCTACGCCGCTTTTACTGCCACTTCGAAACTTTGAAAATATTTGCTTGTGTGGTGATTGGGTTAATACTGCATGGATAGTAGAGTCGTTGCCGCAGCACTCTTATATCTGGCTATGTGTTAGTGGTCTTGGCTGTGGCGCGTGCTACAGCATTGACAAGGCTGCGAGGTGAAATTTGCTTGTGTGATGGTTGTAGGAAGCAATAATGAAGATTTGAATAAGAAGCAATGTTATGTTGCTCTACTATAATAAGGCTCCCATTGCTTTATCAGAAAGTGCCAATAGCAAATGACAATAGAAAGACCTTGTTGCGGTACATGGGGTGATGTAACACATCGACTACAAGCCAAGCCATACTAGCTCGAAGGAATTATTGTGGACTAGCAACCAGGAGTCCCATGCTGCTGTCTATCTTGTAGGCGAAGTATGCAACATGCTATCTAGTCCATGGCACTCCATTGCAAGCCCTCCCATGTGTCACCAGCATAAAACTTGATGTAATCAACAACCTGCAGGTACGGTACACTTCATCGCCATGAAAGCAATAATGATGTCAAAGCCAGCGGCAAGCACATAACCACGGCGAGCGACATGCCCAAAGGCAGCCCATGGCACGCTGGGTAGGAAAATGAGGAAAGATTGGATTGGGGACAGGTTTCTGGTGATGAGAGGAGCATTCCACAAATTTACTTTGGCTTCTTTTGGACGTTGTTGGTCAGATGGATCTGAGAGGTATCCAAGGCTCGGAGGGTGCTCGAAGGGCTTGGAAACGGAAGTGACAGCGATGACGTCATCCTCATTTTTTCCCATTATTTTGTGCGCCACATCCAAAGGGAAGGAATAGAGCAAAGAAGGATCGATCGTGTGAAACATTCCATTGGATCGGCATCTCCTCTCTGTCTAGTAGCTAGCTAGACTACTAGAGAAAGAAAACAATGTCACAATAATAGTCTACAGAGAAAATGACAAGACGTTTGCATCAACACGAATCCCTCTTTTTGCTGACTGCCTTTGTCATTCTATCGGCGGTCACAACAGCCACACATCCCCATGGCTGGAATCCTTCCATTTCGCTGACGGATGATTCGAGAGAACCCTTGGAGAATGGGTTTTGCCCCGATATTGCCGGCTTTGGATCCGGTTTGAATTGCGCTCGGATGCAGGCCCATTCCTGCAAACCCGAAGGATCCGATACGCAGTTCGGATACGACCCCGTTACCAAGGCCATTTACAGTGTCACGTATACGGCCGACTGTAATGCGGTTAGTGGCGAAGAACGGGGAGCCTGTGTCACGGTACAAGACAATGAGATTGTCGCGGGAGCATCGTTTGGGTTGGCCGCTTGTGACAATGACAATGCAGCACAGCAATTTACCTGGACGACCAATGGACAATTTCAGATTTGGTCGGCCGCCGACAATGTCCTGTATTGTCTGGCTGTGGGCAGCGACGTGCGAGAAGCCGGTCGCTATTATGCCGCAGATCTGATATTGGCCGATTGCGATGCCACCGATTTGGTCTTGACCCAATGGACCGTCGATAACCAGGAGGGTTTTGCTGCTGAGGAGGAGGAGGAAGAGGTGAGTGGTAATCAAGAAGAAGAGTCCGAGGATATAGATGACGATGATATCATGGGTGGGCAAATATTGGTCAATTGCAGCATGCACAACGCCACTCACAGCAATACTAATATGACCAACAGCAGCAGCATCCTATGCAACAACATGACGACAATGGTATAGAATCGAATTCGGGAGCCAACCATCCAATCCGACTCTTTGGGGTTTTGTTCACCTTTATGGTTACTTTGTCTCCTATGTTTTAATTGCGACTCGACTCGTTGGTTGTATTTGAAGCCAACGATCTGTACATTTACCGGAGGTAGCACTCATGACGTGCTTTGTAACACCTGAGAAATACTACTAAGAGCAACTAAATTATAACAAGTACGCAAGCTAGCTAGTAGTTTTCCTTGACTGACGCCAGTAACAGGTCCTTGACATGGTCAAAGTCGTGTTGCCGGCATAGAATGAACGAGTCATATTCCCTAGGTTCCTCCTCCTCCTCCTGTTGTTGTTGTTGTGGACTCGTGGTATGAAAATGAGCTCTCTTACAAGAAGTCGCCGCCAGTTGTGTCAATGTCTCCGGGCTGACAAATTCCCACTCGTGTCCATCTATCTTGTCGCTTGATGATACCAAACTCTCGTGAATGGTAAACTCGATGAAATTACGCTCGGGATGTTGCGTGTCAAACGCCGCCTTGTCGTCCTTGGGTCGTCCGTACTCTTGAAACAACGAATTGTCGGTTTGGTGCGGTGAGGGTCTCCATTCGAACAATTGTTGCCCAAGTTCTTTACCAGCCGTCAATTCACCGGCCGGCACCCAATAGCGCGGCTTGGTGTCGTCGTCTTGTTCCCATGTCGAAATGGTGGCAGTATTGTCACTGTTGTTGTGAAATGTGAGTTCCGCCTTGCCCATCCAAATGGCCAACATGCCGTCTTGAAGGGTCTTGGATTGTTCGGTGGTTCCCAAAAAGAAAACGGGTTCATTGCCGACGCCGTTGCTTTCTTGATAGACAATCCGGTACGTTCCTGTCAACACATTATTACAATTGGAAGTAGTAGATTCAGCAGTTGTCGTTATTGTTGCAGTGGCCATCTTGGATCTTCTGCTCTAGCTAGCTAGACAACTTTGGGCTCGACTTGATGCTTCTTGTGTTTGTTGGCTCGAAGACAGAATCTGATGAAGGATGGATGGATGGATGGATGGATGGATGTCGAGGCCCACACTAACCCTATATGACAACCGGGAATGGTTCATGATTCGGTTCCCGGTATCCTGGCACCAGTACGGTACAGGACGAAGACTTTCATTGCATCGAAGGCAAACAGCCGAGGGAAGAAAAGGAACAACCACCAGTGGTACACTACTTGCTAGTCAGCTCTAGCTAGCTAGTAGGACCGAATCTTACACTGAACCAACCACCCGAGAGATGCGGTACAGTCAAACCTAATGCTTCAACTGTTCCTTGCTTGGCTTTCTTTCGCACCATGCAGCCATCAAAGCTGGTATTGTGCCTGGAGGATCGCTCAAGCTCTGCCTGGTTGCTTGTTATAGCAAACAAAGGTGCTGGTACTACTCAGGTAGTAGCCCTCAGGTAGCTAGATAGTGGTTCGCTTGGTGGCTGCAAGAAGGCGATGTTTGCCGCGAGACACGAGAGCCATCAGCCACAACACAGCAGCGACAAGAGTGAGACCCTCTCCTGCTGACCAGTCAAAAAACAATAGCCGGAAATCCTCAGGTCACCTCCTCCACCGAGGGCTCATCACTCACGGAACGGTCTCCCATCAGCCATTGTTCCCCCGCGTGCTTTTAGCTACTCCTCCTCGCTCCCCTGCATGCAGCCCGAGTGAGTGAGTCTTCTTGCTTTGGCTGTAATAGTAGCACTTTCAAGTTTCAAAGGAAATGCCGCTGTGGAAGCTTAGAAGTTAGCTTCTATCATTGCCCCTGACCAGCCAAGAGCTGCAATGTTCTCAGGCACAACTACTAGCTAGTAACTAACTTCGCCACACCTTGGACCAGTGGATCTTTTTCAGAGTTAGTTTGGATCTTGGGCTGGTCTTGACAGGTACCGTTGGCCAAGCGGAACCTTTTATTAAGACCGGATGGGACTCTAATTCCCTCAAGAAGGTCGATTCTTGCACTGACTCTGAATGACCGCGATCAGGTACCGATGCTCCTAAACAATAGCAGCAAGTCAGAAGGCTCTATGACCGGTCGGACCGGTACAGTTATTCTCAGCTATTCAGCTCGTACTACAATGTCATGTGGACTACTGCTCAGAAATAATAGCGCTCTACTCTACTAGCTAGCTCTACCGGTAGCTAGCTAGCTAGGACTAAAGTACTGGAGGGTAGTCTAGCTAGCTACATGTTGCAGTAAGGGAGCACAGCTCTTGTGCAGTGTGCAGTGTGCAGTACTGGCTGGCTCATCCCAAGAATGACTTGAGAACAAGGCAATGTCTTGTTGTCCACTCAACTTCACCTTTCCTAATAACCAGCGACAAGGTGATATTATCTGGGTGATGCCATGGGACTTAAGAAACCAAAGCCAAGCGAAATATCCTCAGAATGACGAACAGCATGACGCAGTTTTGAAGCCGAGACATGGTTGGGTGCGGTTTCTAACGGTCACAAGAACCCAATCAGCTCCACCATCAATATCGATCTTTCGCTTGGAACCTCACGATTGCTTCAAATAGAGGTGAAGGCTTGGACTGTAACCTCAGGCAATCCTGCCAAGGACCAGTACCTCGATTGCCGAAATTGATTTCGCCTGGTGGCTACCAAGGAAGGGTATCCAAGCAGGAGGGCTAATATGATTTCCAGAACCCTTCGACGCAGGCCTGCACCCAGCTGCAATGAGAAAGATGGATCTTTTTGGGAGACCCTCCTTGTTTCTGGCTCACCAATCGAGCTCACAATTTAAGTTAGTAATTGTCCTCACCCCCCAATACCTTCATAAGCACCAGCAGCATGAAATATTCCACCACCCTCTTGGCCTTCTGCGGCCTCCTCGTGGCCCCGACCATGGCAGCAGAACGCGATCTATTTGGCATGTCAAAACTTGCCTTTGGATGTTCCGAAGCCCAAATCATGGATGGATCCTGCAAAGACGCCTGTCCTTGCAATTGCGGCGATGGATTTGGTGTCTTAGTCGACCCCACCCCCAACCGAGACTGCGACGAACCAACCTGTATGGATCCCGTCCTGGCCTACCAATTGGTCGCCATTCAAAAGAAAGCGGACTGTATCACCACTTGCGTCAAATCTCGCGGCGGCGGCGGCGACAGCAGCAGTGACAGCGGTGACGCGAAGAAACAGCGAAAGCCCTTGCCTGACTTTGGGTCGGGCAAAAGCGACGAATCCAGTGACGGGTCGGGGTCCAAGAGTGGCTCGGGATCCAAAAAGAAGAAATACTTCAAGAAGTCTGGATCCTCCAAGAGTGGCTCCAAAAAGGACTTGAGCTTCAAAACAAAATGCAAAGTGGACAGCGAATGTCCTCAAATTCGCTGCTTTGCACCACCTTGTGATCCCGTTGTCTGCGTCCGTGGATACTGCCTGCAAATGCCCTTGAACAAAGATGACGGTAGTAGCGACTCCAAGGACAGCAAATCCAAAAAATCCAAGTACCTTCGCACGGGGGGTAAAAAAGTGAAGATTTGTCACAAGACTGGAAGAGATAGCAAACCTTTCAAGCTCATGGAAGTGTCTGCCAGTGCGGTTCAAAAATATGTGGAAGAGTTTGGCGACTGCTTTCCTGACAGTGAGCTTCCCGGAAGTCGAGGAAAGATCTTTCTTGACAAGCAATGTGGCACGGTTGGATGGGACGGAAAACCATGCGACAAATACGGCAAGCCCAAGAAGAAGAGCAACAGCAGCAGATCTGGCAAGGACAAAAAGAGCAGCAGATCTGGCAAGGACAAGAAGGGTTCCGGCAGTGGCAGCAAAGATTCCAAGTCTTACAAACCCAAGAAGAAAGACTACACTTTCTGCACACAGGATGCCAAGCAATGTGCTGATGGCTCCTATGTCAGCCGCGTTGCACCGAGCTGTGAGTTCGAGAAGTGTCCTGGGGACAAGGATTCCAGGAGCGGAAAGTCTCGAAGCGGCAAGAGCAGCAAGGATTCCAAGAGCGGAAAGTCTCGAAGCGGCAAGAGCAGCAAGGATTCCAAGAGCGGCAAGTCCCGAAGCGGCAAGAGCAGCAAGGATTCCAGAAGCCGCAAAGACGGAAAAGTTTCAATTTGCAAGAGGACGAAAGACAAGAGCAACCCTTTCAAACTGGCCGATGTCTCTGTTGAATCTGCAGCAAAGTACTTGTCCAAAGGCGGGTGCTATCCAGGTGATGCTGTTGTCGGACGCAGGGGCAAGATCTTTGTGGATGAGACATGTGATGTTGTGGATCGTGAGGGATCCCGCTGCTCGGAGGACGGCAAACCCAAGCCAAAGACGGACAAGGATCAAGGAATCAAAGTGCAGATTTGCCAGAAGGTTTTTGATGGCGACAAGCCATACGTGCCTCGTAAGATTTTCAAGGTATGTGCACCGCCATGCATCGCGACTTGGACTTCCCGCTATTGGACCATGATGTTGCTGACACCTTTATCTTCTGTTGTCTTTCACGAAATTGTAGCGTGATCTCATCAAACACATGAGCAAACATGATGACTGCATGCCTGGGGACGACTTGCCTAAATCCAAGGGTAAGGCCATCCTCAACAGTGACTGCGATGTCGTCGGAAAGAAACCAAAGAAGGATAGCAATTCCAAGTCGAAGTCAGACTCGAAAGATTCCAAGTCAGGAAAGTCAAAGTCAGGAAAGGGCAAGCCCAAGAAGGTGGAAATCTGTCACAGGACAGGGAGTGATAAAAATCCATTCGTCCTCATCGAAATCTCTGAAAATGCCGTCCAGCAGCACTTCTCTAAGCACGGTGACTGCTACCCTGGCGACCCTCTTCCAGGCTCACGCGGCCGTGTCTTCTTGGATGATGACTGTGATATTGTTGGAAGAGATTTTGTACGATGTGGCACAGATGGGTCGCCCAAGCCCGAAGCTCCCAAGAAACCGGATCTTGGAGTCAAGGTCAAGGTTTGCCAACGTGTGTTTGATGGGGTCTTGCCTTATGTTCCTCGTTACATCCCCGAAAAGAAGCTTCCGCGCCATATGAGGATGCACGACGATTGCATGCCAAACGATGATGTGCCTGGAAGTAACGGAGATGAATATCTTGATGATGAATGCGCAGTCAAAAAAAGGAAACCTGGCAAGAAACCCAAGAACAGTGGCAGCAGTAGCAGCAGATCCAAGAAGTCCAAGAAGAAGAAGAACTCCTCAAAGGACAGTGGCAGCAACAGCAAGTCATCCAAGGACAAGAAGAAGAAGAACTCCTCAAAGGACAGTGGCAGCAAGACCAAGTCATCCAAGGACAAGTCCTCTAAGTCTGGCAAAGACAAGGGCCTCAAGGTCAAGGTGTGCCAGCGAATCTTTGATGGGGACAAGCCATTTGCTCCACGCTTAATGCCGAAACCTGATGTTCCTTCCTACAAGGATTCTCATGACTGCAGCATGCCCTTCGATGATGTTCCAGATAATGATGACGAATACCTTGATGAAGACTGTAATGTTGTCAAGAAGAAGAATGGAAAGAAGCCCAAGAAGAGTGGAAGCAGCAGTAGCAGCAGATCCAAGAAGTCCAAGAAAAAGAAGAATTCCTCAAAGGACAGTGGCAGCAACAGCAAGTCGTCCAAGGACAAGAAAAAGAAGAACTCTTCTAAGGACAGCAAGATTAAGTCATCCAAGGACAAGTCTTCCAAGTCCGGAAAAGACAAGGGCCTCAAAGTGAAAGTCTGCAAGAGAGTTGGAGGCAAGCGATTCACCCCAGTGTTGATGCCTGAACCAGACGTTCCTTCGTACAAGGATACCCATGACTGTGGCATGCCCTTTGACGATGTTCCGGATACTGATGATGAATACCTTGACGATGACTGTGTGGTTGTCAAGAAGAAGGGAGGAAAGAAACCCAAGAAGAGTGGTAGCACCAGTAGCAGCAGATCCAAGAACTCCAAGAAAAAGAAGAATTCCTCTAAGGACAGTGGCAGCAACAGCAAGTCTTCTAAGGACAAGAAAAAGAAAAACTCCTCTAAGGATAGTGGCAGCAACAGCAAGTCATCCAAGGACAAGTCTTCCAAGTCGGGCAAAGACAAGGGCCTCAAAGTGAAAGTCTGCAAGAGAGTTCCTGGTGGAGGCAAGCAATTCACCCCAGTGGTGATGCCTGAACCTGATGTTCCATCCTACAAGGATACCCATGACTGCAGCATGCCATTTGATGATGTTCCGGATACTGATGATGAATACCTTGATGATGACTGTGTGGTTGTCAAGAAGAAGGGAGGAAAGAAACCCAAGAAGAGTGGCAGCAGCAGTAGCAGCAGGTCCAAGAACTCCAAGAAAAAGAAGAATTCCTCAAAGGACAGTGGCAGCAACAGCAAGTCGTCCAAGGACAAGAAAAAGAAGAATTCCTCAAAAGACAGTGGCAGCAACAGCAAATCGTCCAAGGACAAATCCACCAAGTCCACCAAAGACAAGGGCGTCAAGGTGAAAGTCTGCCAGAGAGTCCCTGATGGAACCAAGCCATTTGAACCAGTGTTGATGCCAGAAATTGATGTTCCATCTTACAAAGACTCTCACAGTGACTGCAGCATGCCCTTTGATGATGTTCCGGACACTGATGATGAATACCTCGATGATGACTGCAACATTATCAAGAGGGAGCCTGGTGACATTTCTTTCAGCTACTGCACTGAAAGTGAGATCCGTGGTGGGTCTTGTGTAGACCTTTGCAAGTGCCCTTGTGCCAATGGTCCCACCATGGGTGTCTTGGTTGTTGCACCTAGCGGTGAAATGACTTGCATGGATTCTGTCGATGCCTATGAGCATACAGTTATGGAGAAGGACATGGGTTGCCAAGCAGTGTGCCCCATTGACAAACCGGAACCAGAAATCATTGTTGAGCCTGAGATTGAAGTTGAGGAGAAGCCAGAACCCAAGGCACCTAAGTCTCCACCCACTGGAAGCCCTACTGCTGGACCAACCAGTTCCCCAACTGCTTCTCCCACCAATGGACCAACCAGCTCCCCAACTGCCGCTCCCACAGCAGCACCAACCACTGCTCCAACAGCTGAACCCACTGATGCACCAACAACAAGCCCTGTTGAATCGTGGATCAGCGAAGAGCATGAAAGTCAAGGATGTGAGACTGCATTTGCCTATCACCAGGCCAGTGGTACATGCTTCTCTGATCTTGGACTTGGAATCAATCGCTGGGGATGGAGTATCGGTCCCATCTCCCCAGACAGTTCAGTCAAACATGAATACGAAATCTACGCTGGGGCTGCTGGCTGCGACACTGACAAGGGAACCAAGGTGGGAACACTCGAGTTCACTTATGATGGAAGTCAGGCCCATGCAAAGTATATGGCCGATGGCAATTATATCTTCGAAGAGACTCACTTCTACCTTGGTACAAAGTCAGTCCCCCATGATGACAACGGAAATCCCACAGTTGCCCCCGGCCAATACACCGCTGTGCACGATGTTTGTGAGAACTCCAAGGTTGACAACATTGTCTTTGACCTCACTCCAGCATGGGGTGACATCTACATCATTGCACATGCTGTGTCGTGCGATGATTGGCGTCGAGAGTAAAAAATCACCAAGCCGCAGGAAAGGATCAGCATTGGATGGCGATCTATTCCTTGCTTTCGTGATACACAGTAACTGACTCAGAATGCCTTTACATAGTAGCAATTACATATGGACAATGCTTTCGTCCTCTGCTTTGTAGCAATTAGCTTAACGGGTTTACTGTGGTTGGCACTTATGGGGGACGACTAAGCAAGAGGGAATTGAGGGCAGTGAACGAAGTGTGAGCCAGGGAACCAATGCTTCGTCGAAATGCGAGGAGGAAGAGCCCTTGCGTTGAGCAGCCAAGAACGCTCAGGCAGGACACCGCATCGGTCGTAGTCGCCGAAGCACTGCGACTGGCGTGGTCTCAACAAAACTTTCGGTGGGAAGAGTGTGGGGCAAGCGCCAAAGACCTTCTGGATGGGTGTACCGTAGACAACTGGGTGCTTCCATTCATGCCCGTCGTTTGATTTGGGGGGAAAACCCATCCAGAGAAGCGTTTCATAGGATAACTTCTTCAAGGACCATGCAGCCAACACAAACACGAGGAGCTGGCTAGCTACGCGGTCATGCCATGATGGCGGCAATTTCCTCTGCGCTCATTCTCAACAGGTGAAAGGCGTCATTCCCGACGTAGCGAGCAGTCGCTCAATAGAAATGTACACTCGCATGGACGCCTGTATCGTCTCGGCTCGACGTCGTCAACCAGGGTTTCTTTGAGCAGACAAACCGAGCTGCAGACTTTCCGGTACATGTACTTGCTCGGACAACTCCATGTATGATCGACGAGTGCTACCGCTGGGACAACCACGCCTCGTTCGGTCTAGTATGAAAGTTTGCTTATTGCTCTGGTTCTTGCTAGAAGCGGGTCAACTTGGTCTAGCTAGTAGGTACCCGTAGGTGAATGCTATTGTGCTGGTCTTCAAACCGTAAAGCGTATCGAGAAGAAAAAGCGGGGACGACTTTCCGTGGATGAGCTAGCTAGTACGACTGTGCACTAGTAGGACTGCCAACCGCTGCATCGCCACAACGTTGGAGCAGCCGAATCTTGTCTGGATGTGACCTCCACCACGTTGGCTGCCACAAATTGGAGTCAATATTAAAATGTTAAAATACCATTTTCTTTTCGAATGAAGAGTGACGACGGTGGCGACAAACTAATCATTGTGCATTGTGTGCTGTCTGGGGAAGAGAGCCCGACCTGCGTCGAATGTTGATCGTTTGGCTGCTTCAAGCACACCTTCACGATTTTCTCCCGGAGGACTTTGTTCCGATTTCTTTCCGGTGCTCGTACCTGCAGCGTGCGATAAAGGAAAGACAGTTGGCCTAATTTACAGGGAACAAGAGGGAGTAACTCTTTGCCATGCATCGCATGCAGAAGACGAACGGAGCGTATTGTGGGCTACGTCGCAGATTGACGATTGATAATTCGACCATGCACTGAACATGCAGATGGCCCATCTACCGCACAGAACGCACACTAGCTCGGCTGCAAAACCGGAACATTCCATTCCCACGCAAGTGGCCAACTCGTGGGAGATAAAAGTCTACAAGGTTGGATCACAACTCGCTCGTAACAATGCACCAGTCTCTCAGTCCAGCCATGACCAGTTCCAATAACTTTCCCACCCCGCACCACAAGGCTGTTCAGTCTTATTTATCCGCTGGCTACTAGACTGACGACTCAATTCACAGCCTTCACCATCCACAAGATTTTGTTTGCCAGCCACAATGCCAGATCGGTGTGCGTGCAGCCAAGTCCCACGGTTGAACCCGCCATTGCTGATCGTAAAGACTTGTTTGCGCAAGACTAGAACGGTTCCAACCGTGAACGATGCTGGTGGTGCACCAAGATAGAAAACGCAACGCCACTGTATCATTGGTTGCCGTTGTGATGAACCGCCTCACCATGGTGTTTCAGCGTCCCCGCGACCTCTCGGTTGCCGATGGTTGGAAGGGACGAGGATGTGGCCTACCTGTACCGGTACACGTACGGACATTGTGGGTTTGCATCCGCCGTGCGCACCTATCGTACCGTTCCGTACTTACTTGTCCCTTTGTCCTTCGTCTTGCTTTGGTCTCCAACCTTGCGAAATTTGGATGTTGCCGGTATCGTACTTCTTGAAGTGTCGCGGAAGTCTTTTTGCTACTATTAATACTGCGGTTACGCTGAGTGCCCTTCCCGAAAAAATAAATGTCACTTTCTGACCGAAAGTGAACACACTCTCAGAAAAGAGCAGACGGGTTCGCAGCTGCCTCTTTCTTTGAATTAAAAGGTTCCATTAAGTCGGAGTTGTTTAGCGCCTTCTGCCTTGTCGAGAGGATTTAAGCATACCGGTATATACTTCCGTAGCGTAAAAAGTTACTGACTCTTTCATCAATTAATAATTACGCTTTCAGCGGTTAGTGTGCTTAGTAGGAGTGAAGTAGTCTAACTCCTCAAGTTCTTCACACAGGTTTGAGCTCATGTTTGTTCCGCCAAAGTGCATCCAGACCAGGCGGCGTCACTCAATGATTTATGCAGCCTTGGATCCTCGGACATCGCGTAGCTTCACGAAACCAGTGACCCGGCATACTCGCAGCAATGAATAACGTCGGCGAAGAAGAGGTGCCTATTGAGATATCTTATTAGCCGCTTGAAGTCTAAAACAACAAGAAGTTTGAAGCATGCCTCTTAGGAATGACATTACGAAGCTCATTACGATCAGGCAAGAAGTGACGCTTCGAGTGTTGTTTTGTGTTTTGTGCTTGCTGGTTTGATGATATTGTTACATGTAGAAATGAAAACGTCTCAAGTCGGCAAAGAAGAGGTGCCGAATTCGGATTTCTTATGAGCCGCTTGAAGTGTAAAACAACAAGAGCCAACTTTTTGTAAGAAGCTTGAAGCATGTCTCTTAGGAATAACATTACGATTAGGCACGAATCGACGCTTCGAGTGTAGTTTTGTGCTTGCTGGTTTGATGATACTATGTCCTGCCTTGGATGCGGCATTTAAGGGTTCACGTTTTTGTAATATCGCTGATCAATTCTTTTACAGCAAGACGTGATACTCTATAGACTCAGTAATAAGATTGCTCCCTAGACTGTGATACTCTAGAGTAATCTATGTATAGTATTACTAGTACTCGCTTTCTCATATTTTGTTTCTTAAATGCAGGTTAGGCGATCGTATGGTATTGAGTGTGCCAGTCATGAAAGAAGGTCATTCTCGCAATGCAAATTGGTTGGGAAAGGGAAATGGCCTATATTTTTCGGAAGGCAGTCAAGGTTTTCTTGGCCTTCTTTGCTTCTTGGTACATGTTCTTGGTAGTTAGCTACGCGAGAGGGAGCGCGCCGTTGTTGGGAACGAAGGAAAAGATTCGATTCATTGAAGAAAGATCCGCTACCGGTAGTACCGGTAGGCTTTGGCCACCGAGAACAAGATCCTTTGAGAGAAAGACAGCACACCGTCTAATTCAATGGTGGTATACGGGTCTTTCTACTTGGTTACTACGTTTCTACAAACCCAATACCTTGCGTAGTTGCCCTTGCTTGTAGTAGAGACTCTACGAAGCATTGGGTTCACCTATCTGGGCGGGACGCCAAAAAGATATCCTTGCGAAGCCAAATTGTGTGCTTTTGGTTTTCCCTGCTTTTTGCTCACAACTTAATTTAGTAGTTGTTCTCAACCCCGCAACTTGGTACGGCACCCAACCGTTCTAATAGTAAGCGAATCGAATCATGAAGTACTCAAGCTCCCTTCCCATCCTTAGCTTCTTGTCCTTGACTGGACTTGTCGCTGCCAGAGTCGGTCGTCGTGATACCGATACCACCACTTCCTACACCACCGAAGTGTCTGGTTGCGAAACGGCCTTTGCCTATGACCCCGTGTTTGGCACTTGCTTCTCGGACCTAGGCATTGACCGTTGGGGATGGTCCATTGGCCCCATCGCTGCAGATGACTCTGCTGTTCACTCCTACGATATCTATGCCGGAGCGGCGCAATGCGATATTACGAAAGGAACCAAGGTCGGAAACCTCGAATTTAAGTATGACGGGACGACTGCCGAGGCCACCTACAAGACGTTGGATGGATTCAGCACCACCGAAACTCACTTTTACGTTGGAACAGACGTGCTCCCCACTACAGACGATGGTTCCTACACTGTCTCCCCTGGGCTCTACACGATGATCCATGACGACTGCGAGTATCATGACGTTGACTATTACTCTCTGGGCTCCCTCTCTGACGACAATGTCTACTTTGTTGCTCATTCGGTAACCTGCGACGGCGCAGCCACACAGGTCGCTCCCGTTGACGGGAGCCCCGTTGCCGCCCCTGTCCCCGCCCCCGTTGCTGCTCCTGTTGCCGCCCCAGTTCCCGCCCCGGTGGCTGCTCCTGTGCCGGCCCCAGTCCCCGCTCCCGTTGCAAGCCCTGTGGCAAGCCCTGTGGCAAGCGCAGTCGAGACCATCCCAGATGGCTGTGGTACTGCCTATGCCTTTGATTCTACACTGGGTACCTGCTTTTTGGATATGAACATGGGATTTTCCCGCTGGGGATGGTCCATTGGTACTCTCGCTGAAGATGCTTCGGTAACCCATACGTTTGACGTTTACGCCAGTGCTGGCCAGTGTGTTCTCTCCAAGGGACTCAAAGTGGGATCACTGACTGTTACGTATGATGGAATTGATGTTGTGGGCACGTTCAACGCGGACACTGGCTACTACTTCCAAGAAACTCACTTTTATGCTGGATGCGCCAAGGTTCCTGAAGATAGCAACGGCAACCCGACCGTGGCTCCCGGGCAATACACCATTGCTCACTCCTTCTTGCCAGAGTCACACACTGGCACTGACGTATGCGCCATGACCGTTCCTGATTATTGTGATATCTACATCATTGGTCATGCTGTCGCTTGTGGCGACGCTGGGTACCCTGCTCCTCCCAAGCCCGAAGAGGAGACACCTGTTTCTGCTCCCGTTGCCGCTCCAGTGGCTGCTCCTGTCGCTGCGCCTGTGCCTAGTCCTGTAGCCGGCCCTGTTGCTATCGACGACAGGACTGCTAGCGCCCCTGAAGGATGCGAGACTGCCTTTGCCTATGACAGTGCAACCGGTACTTGCTTTCTCGACATGGGCTTTGACCGCTGGGGTTGGACCCTTGGTACCTTTAGTCCAGATGGCTCTGTAACCCGGTCATTCGACATGTATGCTGGTGCTGGCCAATGTGACTTGACTGCTGGTGAAATCGTGGGTGTTCTTGAAATTACCTACGATGGTGCAACCGTTGACGTTTGCTACAGGAGTGCTTCCATGTTCGGTTTCTATCAGACCCACTTTTACGTGGGTACGGATCCACTTCCTCTGGACAACAAAGGAAATCAGGTGATTGCTCCTGGCAAATACGGATTGGTGCATGACACGCTCGCAGACAAGAGCGAGGACTGTTTCTCTCTCACTGTTGAGCCTGCGAACTCTGATATCTACATTGTTGCACATGCAGTTTCCTGCGACGCTCCTGAAACCGCAAGCCCAACTGCCTCTCCCACTGCCGGTCCTACGGCTGGTCCAACCACAAGCCCCACTGCCGGTCCTACGGCTGGTCCAACCACAAGCCCCACTGCCGGTCCTACTGCTGGTCCGACCGCAAGCCCCACTGCAGGCCCTACTACAAGTCCAACCACAAGCCCCACTGCAGGCCCTACTGCAAGTCCAACCACAAGCCCAACGCCCGCACCCACTGACTACCCCACCGTCAGCCCCGTTGCCCGTCTCAGTGAAGAGCATGAGGCTATTGGATGTGAGACTGCTTTTGCCTATAATGCCGAAAGTGCCACCTGCTTCGAAGAATTTGGATTTGACCGATGGGGCTGGAGTCTGGGTTCCTTTAGCGCAGACGCTTCAAAAGTCCATTTCTTTGACATCTATGCGGGGGCTGGTCAGTGTGACCTAACCAAAGGAGCCCTGGTAGGAACTCTTGCTTTCACTTATCATGGAGAAACTGTTGAGGTTTGCTACAAAGCCGCCAAGATGTATGAATTCCACGAGACCCACTTCTATGTTGGCACCACACCACTGCCTCTCAACAAGAATGGAGACAAAGTGATTGCCCCTGGGCAGTATGGCACAGTGGATGAAAATCTCGAGGGAATTGACAAGGTTGAACCCTGTTACATCGTGGAAGTAGATTCTCCCAATGCTGACATCTATGTTGTTGCGCATGCCGTGAGCTGTGTTGTTCCAACCGCAAGCCCAACTTCAAGCCCAACTGGATCCCCCACTGCTGCCCCCACTGCTTCCCCCACCGGTAGCCCAACTGTGTCTCCAACAGCTTCTCCTACTGCTTCCCCCACGGCTGGTCCAACCACAAGCCCTACTGCGGGCCCTACCGCGAGTCCCACAAGTTCCCCAACACCTGCACCAACTGACCACCCCACTGTTAGCCCAGTTGCCCGTCTGAGTGAAGAGCACGAGGCTGTTGGATGTGAGACGGCCTTTGCCTATGATGACGAAAGTAATTCCTGCTTCTCAGAATTTGGGTTTGACCGCTGGGGCTGGACTCTTGGCGCCTTTGGGCCTGACATGGGTACCAAAGAGTTCATGATCTACGCTGGTGCTGGTCAGTGTGACCTAACCAAAGGAACAGTTGTGGGCTCCGTCAAGGTGACCCACAATGGAGACTCTGCAACTGTCTGCTACGAGGCTGGCAGATTGTATGAATTCCACGAGGCCCAAGTCTATGTTGGCACCACTCCACTTCCTCTCAACAAGAATGGAGACAAAGTGATTGCCCCTGGACAGTATCCTTTGGTCGAAGATGACCTCTCCGGAGGAGCAATGGCGGAAGGCTGCTTCACACTTCCAGTCGAGCCATCTGGTTCTAAGGTTTATGTCATTGTTCATCTTGTGTCGTGTGTCATCCCAACGGAAAGCCCCACTGCGAGCCCAACAGCATCTCCCACAGCTGGCCCAACAGCCAGCCCCACTGAGAGCCCAACTGGAAGCCCCACTGCAAGCCCAACTGCATCTCCCACAGCTGCACCCACTGCCAGCCCTACTGCCAGTCCCACTGCTTCCCCAACAGCTGGCCCCACTGCTTCTCCTACTGCTTCCCCCACGGCTGGTCCAACCACAAGCCCTACTGCGAGCCCTACAGCGAGTCCCACAAGTTTCCCAACACCTGCACCAACTGACCACCCCACTGTCAGTCCAGTTGCTCGCCTCAGTGATTACCATGAGGACCTTGGATGTGAGACAGCCTTTGCTTATCAAAATGGTGGTGAATGTTTCTCAGAATTTGGGTTTGACCGCTGGGGCTGGAGCCTCGGTACCTTTGGTCCGGCTGTTGGTGTTACTCACAAGTTGGACATGTATGCTGGGGCTGGGCAATGTGACTTGAATAAAGGCACAATTGTGGGTACTCTTCAGGTCACCTACGATGGTACTGATGTTGATGTTTGCTTTGAGGCTGCCCGTTTGTTTGAGTTCCACGAGACTCATTTCTATGCAGGTACAACCGAGTTACCTCTCAACAGGAATGGCAATATGGTGATTGCCCCTGGACAGTACCCCGTGGTTAATGGTGCCCTAGTTGGCGAAGAAATGAGGAAGAGCTGCTTTAGCATGCCCGTAGAGCCTGATTCACACATTTATATTGTTGCCCATGCTGTGTCCTGTGTCATTCCGACTGAGAGTCCAACGGCGTCCCCCACTGCTAGCCCAACAGCTAGCCCAACTGCCAGCCCAACTTCCAGCCCAACTGCTAGCCCAACAGCTGGGCCTACCGCAAGCCCAACAGCTAGCCCACTGCAAGCCCAACAGCTAGCCCCACTGCAAGCCCCACAGCTAGCCCCACTGCAAGCCCAACTGGATCCCCACTGCTCTTCCCCCACCGGTAGCCCAACTGTGTCTCCAACAGCTTCTCCTACAGCCGCCCCCACCACCAGTCCAACCGCAAATCAACCGCAAGTCCAACCGCTGGCCCAACTGCCAGCCCTACCAGTTCTCCTACTCCTGCACCCACTGACCACCCTACTGTCAGTCCCGTTGCCCGATTGGATGAGGAGCATGAGACACTAGGATGTGAGACGGCCTTTGCCTATGATGACGAAAGTAATTCCTGCTTCTCAGAATTTGGGTTTGACCGCTGGGGCTGGACTCTTGGTGCCTTCGGAGCTGACATGGGTACCAAAGAGTTCATGATCTACGCTGGTGCTGGTCAGTGTGACCTAACCAAAGGAACAGTTGTGGGCTCTGTCAAGGTGACCCACAATGGAGACTCTGCAACAGTCTGCTATGAGGCTGGCAGATTGTATGAATTCCTCCAAGCTCAGGTCTATGTAGGTACCACTCCACTTCCTCTCAACAAGAATGGAGACAAAGTGATTGCCCCTGGACAGTATCCTTTGGTCGAAGATGACCTCTCCGGAGGAGCAATGGCGGAAGGCTGCTTCACACTTCCAGTCGAGCCAACTGGTTCTAAGGTTTATGTGATTGTTCATCTTGTGTCGTGTGTCATCCCAACGGAAAGCCCCACTGCGAGCCCAACAGCATCTCCCACAGCTGGCCCAACAGCCAGCCCCACTGAGAGCCCAACTGGAAGCCCCACTGTATCTCCCACGGCTAGTCCCACCGCCAGCCCTACTGGTGGACCCACTGCAAGCCCAACCGCATCTCCCACAGCTGCACCCACTGCCAGCCCTACTGCCAGTCCCACTGCTTCCCCAACAGCTGGCCCCACTGCTTCTCCTACTGCTTCCCCCACGGCTGGTCCAACCACAAGCCCTACTGTGAGCCCTACCGCGAGTCCCACAAGTTCCCCAACACCTGCACCAACTGACCACCCCACTGTTAGCCCAGTTGCCCGTCTGAGTGAAGAGCACGAGGCTGTTGGATGTGAGACGGCCTTTGCCTATGATGACGAAAGTAATTCCTGCTTCTCAGAATTTGGGTTTGACCGCTGGGGCTGGACTCTTGGCGCCTTTGGGCCTGACATGGGTACCAAAGAGTTCATGATCTACGCTGGTGCTGGTCAGTGTGACCTAACCAAAGGAACAGTTGTGGGCTCCGTCATGGTGACCCACAATGGAGACTCTGCAACTGTCTGCTACGAGGCTGGCAGATTGTATGAATTCCATGAGGCCCAAGTCTATGTTGGCACCACTCCACTTCCTCTCAACAAGAATGGAGACAAAGTGATTGCCCCTGGACAGTATCCTTTGGTCGAAGATGACCTCTCCGGAGGAGCAATGGCGGAAGGCTGCTTCACACTGCCAGTCGAGCCATCTGGTTCTAAGGTTTATGTCATTGTTCATCTTGTGTCGTGTGTCATCCCAACTGCAAGCCCAACATCATCACCCACAGCTAGTCCAACCGCCGGACCTACAGCTGGACCTACATCAAGCCCAACTGTCGGACCTACTTCAAGCCCAACCGCTGGTCCTACATCAAGCCCAACTGTCGGACCTACTTCAAGCCCAACCGCTGGTCCTACATCAAGCCCAACAGCTGGACCTACCGCTGGTCCTACGGTGAGCCCAACTGCTGGACCTACCACAAGCCCTACCGGATCCCCCACGGCTGGCCCCACAACATCACCCACTCCCAGCCCAACTGATGCCCCCACAGAGAGCCCTGTTGCAGCCCCAGGTGCCGCCCCTGAACCGTCCCCCGTTGCTGCCCCAGTGGCATCCCCAGTAGCGCCTACAGAATGGCCGGAACCTTCGTATGGATGTGAGACTGCGTTTGCCTATGATGAGGCTTCTGGAACCTGCTTCTCTGAGTTTGGATTCAATCGATGGGGCTGGACAATTGGTCCCGTTCCTTCTGATGGTTCGGTAACCCATGAATTTCCAATTTACGCAGGCGCGGGGCAGTGTGACATCAACAAGGGCAAACTTGTAGGAACCCTGGAGTTCACATATGGTGACCAGGTTCATGCTAAGTTCATTGCTGCTTCGGGGTATGGATTTGAAGAGACTCACTTCTTCATTGGTGGTGGTCCGTTGCCATATAAAAATGGTGTTCAAACTGTTGCGCCAGGCCAATACCCCTATTCACATGGGCCATTTGACCCCGAAGCAACAATGGATTCTTACACTTTCAATGTTCATGGCGGTGTTGATCTCTACGTGATTGCACATGCTGTTTCTTGCGGTAGTGAATTTGAAGACAAGTCCCTACCAGAGCCGGAGCCGGAACCAAAGGCGCCAGCAGGTTCCCCAGTTGCAGCTCCCAGCGCGTTGGCCCCAACAGCACCAGAGGAATTTCCTGAACCCAAGGCAGGATGTGAGACTGCTTTTGCTTACAATGATGACGGCAGTGCAACCTGCTTTTCTGAATTCGGAATTAACCGATGGGGCTGGTCTATTGGGCCGATTGTTGCTGATGGAGTCACACACACCTATGACATCTATGCAGGTGCTGGTCAGTGCAACATCGGTAAGGGTGAGAAGGTGGGAACACTTGGATTCACCTTTGATGGAACAACCGCAGAGGCGATATATCAAGTCGCGGAAGGATTCGGATTTGATGAAACCCACTTCTACATTGGTTGCAGTGCATTGCCAGAGGGTAACACAGTTGCTCCTGGCCAGTACACTGGTGTCCATGACACATGCGAATCTTCTGCCTTCGACAGATACGTATTCCCTGCTCCTGCTGGATGCAGCGAAGTATACATCATAGCCCATGCAGTTTCTTGCGGTTCAGGTGATGCGGTGTCCCCCATCACTTCTCCAGTTGCTGCGCCAGTTGCTGCACCAGTTGCTGCGCCTGTACCAAGCCCAGTCGCTGCTCCGGTCACATCCCCAACCAGTGTTGCTTTGCCCACACCATCGAATGAATGGCCCGAACCTTCTTATGGATGTGAGACTGCATTTGCTTATGACGAAGCTACTGGTACTTGTTTCTCTGAGTTTGGATTCAGTCGGTGGGGCTGGAGTATTGGTCCGATTTCCCCCGACAGCTCCGCCACTCACAAGTACACCATTTATGCTGGTGCAGGCCAATGTGACATCACCAAGGGAACAGCTGTGGGAACCCTCACGTTCACATACGATGGAACACAAGCCTCTGCGACTTTTGATGCTGTGACTGGTTATGGATTCCAAGAAAGCCACTTCCACATTGGTGTCAACCCACTGCCCATCAAGAATGGTGCTCAGACAGTTGCCCCAGGACAATATGCTTATTCACGTGGTCCTTTTGATCCTCTTGCAACAATGAATGGGTACATGTGGAATCTCAACAGCGGTGTTGATGTTTACATAGTTGCCCATGCGGTTTCTTGTGCAACAGGGTATGCGGTGGCTCCTGTTGCCGCTCCAGTTTCCCCCCCCGTTGCCTCTCCGGTTGCGTCCCCTGTTGCCTCTCCAGTTACATCCCCAGTTGCAAGTGATCCTCATGATCCAGCAGACAAGTCAGTTGACTTCGAGGAGCCGGGATTCCTTGGTTGTGAGACAGCATTTGCATATGAGCCTCCAGAAAAGGGAGCTTGCTTCTTGGACATGGACATGGGCTTTGAACGCTGGGGCTGGTCCATTGGCAAGCTTGCTGCTGACTCTGCCACCCACACCTATGAAATCTATGCTGCTGCTGGGCAGTGCGACATCACAAAGGGTCATTTGGTGGGATACCTTGACTTCACCTTTGATGGCACTACTGCGTCTGCAGTGTACAAGGTTCAACCTGGTTATGGATTCCACGAAACTCACTTCTACGTTGGGTGTAACCAAGTACCACTACAAAAGAAGGGTAAAAAATATGAAGCGACTGTGGCGCCTGGAAAATATACTGTTGTCAATGAACTAATTGCTGACCCTGAGAGTGGCGACTCACTCTCTGTTGACGCCCCTGAGGGCTGCAGTGAAGTGTACATCATTGCTCACGCTGTGACTTGTGGAGTAACACCAAGCCCAACCGCATCTCCCACGGCAAGCCCAACCGCATCTCCCACAGCAAGCCCAACAGCATCTCCTACTGCCAGTCCGACTGCAAGCCCAACAGCATCTCCTACTGCCAGTCCGACTGCAAGCCCAACAGCATCTCCTACTGCCAGTCCCACGGCCAGCCCAACAGCATCTCCCACGGCAAGCCCCACCGCTGGCCCTACTGCTAGCCCCACAGGCAGCCCAGTTGCACCGACCCACACAACTGGAGATGCAACCTCCGCGACTGGAGAATGTGAGACTGCATTTGCTTACGATGAGGGTGATGCAGCCTGCTTCATACCCAAATTTAACAGATGGGGATGGACTCTTGGAGCCTTTGTACCCGGAACTTCATCAATCTTCAATATTTATGCCGGTGCTGCCGCGTGTGACCTTGGTAAAGGAGAACATGTTGGAGACCTAGTCTTTTCCTATGATGGCACCACCGTGATTGCTCATTACCTCACCTTGGGGGGATTCACTTGGGCTGAGACTCATTTCTACGTCGGAACCGATCCGTACCCTCTTGACAATGGTGTGGAAACGGTTGCTCCTGGCCAGTATCCCTACATTCATGATGTCTGCGACACTTCTACAAGCGACAAGTTCACTATTACTTTGGACCCTGCTATGCAAGAGCAACCCATCTACATCATTGCCCATGCTGTTTCATGCGGTGGCGATTAGACCGAAGGTGCATGCTTGTCGTGAAACGATGAGATGGAGCTGAAGTCCTGTGGATCCATCTTCCTTCGATAGCGCTCTCTTTGTTTGACCAGACTAACTCCATCTAATAGTTCTATGTTAACGCAATTGGCGTCATGTACACAGTAGCACAGGCGAGCGGTCTTTGCTTCGCCGCGGACTAGCTGGCTAGCAACCAGCCAAAAACGTGCAGCGGTTTGTTGTTCAAGGCGATCGTCGTATCGACGGCAACCCAGCAGTCCACGATTTTCAAGGTTGCTTGCTGCCAAAACCTTTGCCAAAAGAGAAGGGCTGGCTGTTCTCGTATTGAATTCAGCAATGGGCGCCGCGCTGGGTCAGAAGACACATGTGACGAATCGAGCAATGGGCTTCGCGCTGTTGGTTGGTCGGAAGCTTCTAGAAGATGACGCAGTGGGCATGCAGCTGGCTGGCTGGCTGGCTGTCATCGGCGCTGTTTGGGCAGCCTGACTGAACTAGTAGCTTGTGTACAGTAGGAATGGAGTCTGCTATTCCCTGCTCTGGAGATGTGATGACGTTGGTGGTCCGTTTGAATCGTCGGCAACAAGAGCGCCATGGCCGCGTTCTCTGTTTTGGCCCTGTCGACAACGGGACGCGCCATACCGTACGGCAGCCATACTGACCGTTAACTGGAAACTGACAAAGGAGGCTTGTGCCTCACTGCCCTTTGGAAGTTTAGTCAAAACCACCCTTGACTCCACTCCCACCAGCTTTGTCTCTTCATGCAGATTACGAATTGAAAATGGAAGTTGTCAGCGGCGGTATCAGTAGTACAAGTCAGTTTCAAGGCCAAGAGGCTCTGGGAAGCCAGCTCTTTGTCCACGTGAGTCGAGTCCTTGGGTTGGATTCTCTTCAGGCATGATCTACTCTTTGTGATGGTTTCTCAAAACCCCACTAATTGTATTGTATTGTACTGTACTGTAGACGCCTCCCATTCTCTCCCGACAAGAAGGATACGATCACCGACTTGCCTTGTTTGGCGTACCCCCCACGAATGGGTCCATCACAGAAAATCTCATTTATGCTGACTCGACGCTATGTGATCCCAATGTTGACACGACCATTGGATATCCAGTGCGAGAATCGGATGATGGTGGGTTGATGGCTCCTTGGCCAACTCCATTCATACTCCTGGTGGATCGAGGAGAATGTACCTTTGTCACCAAGGTAAGTAGTGAGTAGACTAGCTAGAGTTTGAACCAAACAACCAAATGAATTTCACCGATCTGTCCGTCTGAAGCGATGGATCTGTTGCTCATGTATTTCTGGTACCCTCCTTTTTCTTTTTAGGTGCGACATGCCCAACGCGTCGGTGCCTCGGCTGTCGTGATTGCGGACAATCGATGCCTTTGCAGTGACGCCCAGTGCATTCCAGATGTTGCAGGACAAGTTTGTGAAATAAGAGAACCCATCCTAGCCGACGATGGTTCCGGGTCCGACATTATCATTCCTTCCGTGCTCATTTTCAAGCCAGACGGGGATGCTCTCAAAGCTAAATTACGCAACAATGTACCGGTCCTATTGGAATTGCGCTTTGCGGCGCCCAACACGCTTGTGGATGGAGTGTCGTATGAGCTTTGGTATACACCCGGTAGTCCCAATCCACTTTTACAAGAATTTCGAGACATTGCCGTGGTGTTGGGACGCAACAACAATAATGTCACCTTTACTCCCTTTCACTACATTTACGATGGGATACTGGCGGGTTGCTATTCCAACGACCCGTCAGCCGAAGGCTTGTGCTACAACTTGTGTACCAACGCAGGGCGCTACTGCGCAACTGACCCTGACAACGAGTTGGATGTGGGCGTTTCGGGAGGTGATGTTGTCCAAGAGAGCCTGCGGCGCATGTGCATTTGGGAGCTATATGGCAAGGACGATGGGATTGGCGAACCGTGGTGGGACTACGTCCAGTACTTTGAATCCTATTGCGGCCTAGACCGATTCAAGGACGACGACTGCCTGTCCGATGCCTACAAACAATCGGGGGTCGATCCTGCTCGGATACAACAGTGCATGAAAGTGGATTCGGGAGGATTGGAAGGAGATACTACCAACAGTTTGATGGAACAAAGCTTGGAAGCTCAGAGACGACGCGGCTTGCAAGAAGTCCAGGCAGCGTTTGTCAATGGAGCGCTGGTTCCTGGGGCGCTCTCTGCCGAAGGACTACTTTGGGCTGTGTGTGCTGGCTTTGCCGCACCACCCTTGGTGTGCAACTCTTGTCTTTACAACATGGAGAGTGACTGCTTTGAGGAGGATGTTGTCAGCTGCGCTGCAGCAGGAGGCAACTGTCCCGGCATTATTTCAGACGAGAGTGGTGTACAGGGAAACAACAATAGTGCTGCTGCTTGGAATTCATCATCATCATTCTTGAATGGTACGAAGGTCGACAACGCTACCGTAGTCGAAGGCAAAACTGCCGCCGAGATTCCCGAGTCGGAGGCAAAGAACGACGCAACGGCTGTCACGCCAAAGAAGGAAGCAAAGCAAAGCTCTGGGGGAAGCGTGCGTACGGGCTGGGCACATTCTCTGGGGTTTCTTGGTTTTGTGGCTCTGCTGCTATGGCCATTGACAATTTAGGAGTGTCTTGAAGCTTATGCATGCCATTCTAATGCTGAAGCCGCAACAGGGCTTTCAGTGGATGCTCATCGCGTCAGGGCTCTAGCTTGGTGGCGCTGGAATGTGACATCCATAGCAAATACTGCGAATCCAGGAGAATGGGGAGCAGCCAACGCAGCAAGCAGGTTTCTCGATACCAACCAAGTACCGGTACGGGGCTTCCTACCTGTAGTTGCAATGTCCTCGGAAGGGTTTTCGGTGGCCTCTCTTCGATTCGTGTACTTCCTGGGTACCAGTACTCACTTGGACGAAACTGTGTACCGTGAATTGGCCGCGTATTGAAAGGCATCCAGGAAGCTGAATGACGAATCAAAATCAAATCAAATCGGACCAGGACAATCTAATCACTCGTATTCAACCCTGCTCAGCAATAGGCGTCCATCAGTCAGTTTGGCACCACATATGCTCTTCCTATTTGTTCATAGCACCGGCCTTTTTTTTCACCATCAACCTTTGCTGCTTGCACGTGGTATCCCGTCGCAGTCCCCTGACGTGCTTTCAGAAACGAAGGCTTCTACAGAAATGTTTCTCGGTTTTCATGGATGTTTAGTTTAACATGTACAATGTAGCTAGTAGGTTGCACCGTTAGCAGAAGGAAGCGAATGATTCAATCTGTCCGCCCCAACACCTACTAGCCAGTCAGCCATACTTACCATCCTAAGCCGCCCTTTGGTTGTTGGGAATCGCTGTACTGGGAAAATAGGATCGCAGCAAATTGTTCATGATGCTGCCACCCTCCTCGCTTGGCAAAAAGATACCGTCGCCCTCAGTGTCGTCCAAAGGTGCCTTCTTTCCAAGGTATCGCTTGCGAGTTTCAGAACCAGAAGCAACGAGTTGTGGGTCTCTGTCATCGTCTCCTTTGCTGCTGCTCTGCTTTGTGCTGCTGCTGGTGGTGACTGGAGATTTCCTCTGTGTGGGACTGCTGGTGCTGCTGCAGCTGCTGCATGTAGAAGTCCTCCTTAGCTCTCTTTTTGATCTGTCATCGAGCGATCCATCTAGATTCGATGAACCACGACGATGACCGCTCTTGTTCTCTCTGATGCTACTGCAGTTGCTAACGGACCTCCGCAACTCTCGTTTTGAGCTACTGCAGGTGCTAACGGACCTCCGCAGCTCTCTCTTTGATCTATCTTCAGGTGGTCCCTCTCGTCGTTTCGATGAACTACGAAGATGACGATCTCTAGAACTGCTGCAATTGCTGACAGTCCTCCTCAGTTCTTGTTTAGATGGATCCTTTGGGGATCCTTCTCCTCGTTTCGATGAACTACGAAGAGCGTCCTTTCTGCTCCCAGATCGTTTTGGTTTCCCGGTATCTCCTCCCATGGTCAAAGGTAGCTTTCTTTCTGATGAAGTTGAAGGTAACTGGGTTGGATGCGACCTCTTTCTTTCTGGCTGCCTTGGAAAAAGTGAGTGTGGTGCTCTGATAGTGGTGGTGTTTTACTAGCAGTAGTGTTTTGTTTGGTGGTTTTTGTGCAGACACAGTTCGCACCCAGGGTCATAGGAAACACACATCATATGTAAAACTACTACTGAGTATTTATTGTAATGACCAAGTCAACAGTCTGTTAATAAGTATAAACGTGCCAGTGTGTGCCAGTTTCTCTCCAATCGTATTGCCCCGTGTAGTACTCATGGTCTACTGGTGTACGGTACGGCGTACCGGTGCAACTGTAGCTAATACTCGTGACTCTGACTGTTAGCTGCATCGTACTGGTAGGTACCGTACCGTAAAAGTATAGTGGACTACCGTAGCAGTACCGGTACAGTCTGTGCGTCTGTGCTATTATTACACACATCACACGTAATATTTCATTTTGCACTTGTAAAATGTCGTGACCCAATGTGACTCAGATGTTATTGAACTATTTATTGCCAGTTTCTTGTCCATGTATCGCCCCTTCTGCACGTGTACACGTCAGTGCTCTGGCGTTCTATTTCAAGCACCAAGCAGACCACCATGCCAGCTGCCACCATGCGCACGGGCGCACGGACCATGGAGACAGCCATGGAGACCAGTTCCCATCACCCGCTACCGGCACGACAACATACATCTCACGCAGCTGAATTGATCCGATGATTGTGTTCGGCTGGCTGGGTGTTGGTACTCTCTTGGGGAACAAGGATCGCAACCAAGTCTTCATGTCACCTCCACAGCTCTCCTCTTCCTCTGGGTTTGGCCAAAAGATTCCATCCCCGTCTACATTGTCCAATGGTACCTTCTTTCCTAGGTATCTTTTGGGGGGTGGCACGGAAGAAGTAAAGATGCCAATTTGAACCACTTCGTCTTGTTTTTTGGGAGTACCCTGCGAGCTTTGCTTAGACCTGATGGATGCTGAAGGATTTCTGTGGCTGCTGTTGCTGATGACACTACTGGTGCTCCTGCTGCAACTGCTGGAAGATCTGTTGAACTCTCGTCTTCTTGATCCACTACGATGGAGGATATTGCTTTTGCTTCCTGACCGTCTTGGTCCCCCGAGATCTTTTCCCAGATTATCTCCCATAACTGATGGCCGCTTGGTCTCCAAAATGATGGACATGATGGTTTCTTGGCTATTAGTTTTCTCTTGGCGCCTGTTGCAATTTATGAACCCAATGTGGTAAGCCTCAAAGGAGTGGTTTATTAAAGGAGAGCATAGGCCCTAGAATCTAGATCTGACCACTGTACATCGGAACAATTGTCCAGTAACGATGGCCTGGTGACTGTTTTGAAACACACAGAGAGGAGGTGAGACCGAGATGCTTTTCGAGATTTGTGAGACGGTTGTAGATTTGTGAGATGCTTTGTGACAGAGATTTTGACGGCGGCGAGTTGTGTACCGGTACCGGTACGGGAAGAACAAAGGAGCGCATTCGTTACTTAGAATGGAATGACCCATCTACAGGTGTGTTCTAATGAGTATGATCTTTTCTTAGTGTAGTAAGATTTTGAGACTTAACTGTTTAAGGAGGTACCACCCAGTCTGTCCGTTTTTTTAGTCATGAGTTGGTTGAAACCCAAAATTACTCGAGAAAATCGCGACAACAACAACAACAAAACGATTTCGATCGCTGCTGTTGGGACTGGCTAGTGCTCTTGTCCTACTCAATTCTGACAGTAACTACCATTAAGTTAAATCTTCGAAACATAGATGCTAAGAAGGAGTGACTTGGCTGGACAGTTGCAGGGGCTCCGGTCGATAGGTCCTAGTAGCAGCAGACTTAGCGGTCGATTTTCGGCCGATTTCAGAGTTAACACCAAACTAAACAGTCTAAGCCCCAGCGACTGTCCAACTGGACGGGGTACTCTTGTTTGTTATATTACAAGTACTCTTTGTATTGGTCAAAGCCTTAACAGAGGTCTTTATTCTACTGAACTAATCAGTCCAATTCAGGGATCGAAGTCGGTTTTTTGTTGTTGTTGTCGCGATTTTACTGGTTAATCCCAACTCATGACTAAAAGAGGGTGGTACCTCCTTAATAAGCCACTGTTCATCGCAACATCGCTGCCCAGCTCTTGATGAACTGGTACTAGCTAGTACCGTACCCTACGTTTTTGGTACCATTTCCATGCCAGTTGCCCGGAGTTGAGTTGTAGAAGCATTCATGCTGGTTGGAAGCAGTGCTGAAGTCTGACTTGACGCCATCCTTTCACCGATTTTGCTTTGGGCTTGGGTGGCGGATGATGCCTCACTATACTAAATTGCCGGGTGAAGTGGCATCCTCTCCGTCACTTTCGCAATTGCTAGTACAATAGCTAAAATCGTATGACAATAGCTAGGTACCCTAGAAGTCTATTTATTATTCTATGAAATTCAATTCGCTCAGAATGCATGTATGCATAGGGAACAGCTTCGTTGCCTTTGGCTTTGAAAGCAGGCAACAACCCCAGCTAGTACAGTAGGTCTTCAGCTGGCCTACTTTTGGAATGGCGATTGGCTCTGGATGGCGATACTCCCCGCTTCTTCGGGGACAATGATCGAGGCTTTGATTTCTTTTTCTTCTTGTGGTCGTGGTGCCCTCCTTTCAACAAGTCGTCATTGTCCTTTCCACGACAACACAGAAAGATCCCATCTCCCATGGTTTCCTTGGACAACTTTTGCCCCAAACATCTCCTCCGAGGTGATGTTGCAGCGGTTAGAAACGCCTGGTTGCTTTCTTCCGCGTGCAAACTTCGTGTCGACGAGGAGCTGCTTTGAAAGCCTCCTCTGATGGATGACGAGGAACTCTTTTGCCGGCGTAACAAGTCTCGTTTGCACCCTCCTCGAAAGGTTTCCTCTCGTTGTAAACTTGACAACGCGTCCTCATCATTCCATCTTGCCTCCTTTTGATAGCCGTCTCTTGACGGTTTATGCTGCTTGGATTGCGATTCCACAACCAGGGACATGGTCAATGATGGGTGGAAATGTTGGTTGATAACCTTGGTATTGATAGAACTTGGATTGGTGAAATGGCGGACCAGTGTAACTCAAAATGTGAGCAAGCAAGCTAAAGATGCAGAAAGAGGGGAGGGTTGAGGATCATGGAAAGTGCCCCAGCCGCTGAGCATGCTGTACATTACTTTCTCGTCTCACTGTGTCTGGCTACATGTGTGACTTCTCTTTTACTGTTTACTGCAGGCAGTTCAAATGGTAACAAGTTTCCAGCTAGATTCGATTCCAAGCAATGTAGTACATGTATTATTGCTTTACTAGTAGTTGGATGTTGGATGCATCTCCAGTGGCCATCACAAGGCTAGCTCCTACTAGCCAGTATAGGCATTCTGCGATGAACGCATCCTCGTCCCAGGCAGCACCTGCATTTCTACCGGTACCAAAAGTAAGTAAGTATTCTTGCAGTCATTGCTATTGAGCCAAGTATGGTGCTGCCTGCTACTACCTGGAAGACGCCACGATTTGTGCGGAGTCAAGAGGATCCATACCGTACGTAGCACCTTGGCTTTTCCAAGACACCGGGTGCACCGAACAAACCATCGAAGCAAGCGCAAACACAATGTTTATCGTTTGGGGACGCTGTAGGAGATCAGGCAGACTATGGCATTGCTTGCTTGTTCGGAGTCTACAGCCCTGCCTGGAGCGGAGACTTCTTGGCGGAGGGTGCAAGCAAGCTTTGGAAGAGCGAATGCTCCAATCCCCGCTCCAATCAATTGCGCCTGGACGTGCATGCACAAAACTGGCAGTCACTGTGGTTGCAAAGTGGTTGGTGCTGCATAGCTCTGGTCGGAAGCTGCGAGTTGCACTGGCAAAAATTTTGCTTCGTCCCACAAGCAAGACATACCCCGAACAAAAGCAGCTTCTAGCGCCGAGTCGAGTCGAGTCTTCTTCATTGATGGTCCATGAGCGAGCGCTGGATGCATGCTACTCTGAGTATAGCTGCAACCCCGATTTGACCGTCATTCAGGCATCCGGATTCGATTCCGCTGTGGTACGTGTGGCTCCCTGGTGAGGATCGGGTGTAATCGTAGCTCTGCTGTTTGTTAACTCTCGCTTGGCCAATTTTTAATAAAATAAAACGGCATTGACGCGCATCTTGTTTCCGATCATGTTGTATCATAGTTTCCACTGCAGGGGTGTAACCATAGCTCTGCTGTTTATTAACTCTCACGTTTCGCTGTAAAACCTTTGACCCAAATGTCCTTTTGAGAGACATTTTCCCGTTTCCTAAGAAAATAAAGGCCACGTCATTGATGTGGGGCATCATCAAAACTCCAAAAGTGCTGGAAAATTCTATGGCATTGGTGCAATGGCCCAACCCTGCACAGCGATAGCGATGCAAGATCAACATCAACATTGGGTGGCGAATGGATGAGCATTTTGTATGTATTATTTTCTCCCCAGTGGCCAAAAGTAAGTAGGCTCTGGTGGTAATAAGCAAGTAGTAACGATGAAGGTGATGAAGAGACTGTTTTCTCGCCTGAGGCGTCGGAGGTAAGGTTGCTTTGCGTTCGCAGTCTGCTGTCGATGGGATTGGTCTCTTTCATTCCCGATTTTTGGGCTGTACCTCAATGTCCCGTTGTTTTTTCTTTCGTCCAAACTACTATCATACGGTACTACCAGTGGTGCCAAGAACACTCGAGTGTCTCACGATGATGAGACGGATCTTCTTCAAGGTGTTGTTGGTGAGAGTCTGCTGTTGACCAATGCCTTTTTCGTCGGTCCTCCCGTTTCTTTGACGGACTTGTTGGATGCGCTGCGAGAGGGCTGTATAATGACGCCATGTACCAATATTCAAGTGGAGCGCAGTTTTCTGGACTGTCTTTCCGTCACGGAACAATTCCTCTTTTGGAATGTTTTGGGCAAAAGTCGTCAAATCAAGCGAGTGTCGCTGGTGGGCATTGATCCACTCCCCACGCACGTACTCGCCACGCTGTTGCAGTCGCCCATTTTGGTGGAATTGGAGCTCTCGCATGTCCGACTCGTCGGTGATTTAAAAGTCTTGCGAGGAGATGCATTGGCATCCCTTTGCACCATTCACTTGTGGAATGTGGACGTGGCTACTACTAGCGGGACAACAGCGAGTCAACCACAACAAAACGACTTTGTGAAACTCATCATGAATCTACCCCAGTTACACGAACTGGCGCTCGGAGATGGATTTGCGTTTGATGGTCCCCAAATCACGGCCATTTGCAATGCACTGTCTCGACCATGTCACCCATTAAAGTCACTGCGACTCATGGGCGCCTCAAGCAACCACAACAATCACTATTTCTCGCACGGTTATCATGTCACCCAGGCATTGGACGACCAAGCGTCCGTGGCATTGGCTACCATGCTCCAAACCAATCGCTCCTTACAGAGTCTCGAATTGTCCAATCTACAAATCGGTCTGGTACCTCTGGCAAATGCTTTGCGGCAGGACAATCGCACCCTCTGTCAGTTTCATGTCTTTCAGGTCCATTTATTTTGTCGACAAGATACGACGGTGGAAGAAACGAATGCCTTGGTGGAAATGCTACGCGACAATCCCGTCTTGACATCGTGTCTCTTGCCTACTTGCAGCACAAGAAGTGAAATGGACTTTTACCTGCAATTGAATCGACACGGCCTACGAGATATTCAGGTCGATGTGAATCGGTCGCGTTACACTGTAGTGGAATTGTTGGCGGCGGAAAATGACAACAATGTCAACAACAATGGCAATAAGCTCTCGTTGGATTGTATCTATCATGTACTGAGAGACAACCCGACGCTGATGAATGTGTGAATAGAATGACGGAAGCAAGAGAATGGAAACAACAGATGCATGCATGCAGAGAATGGATTGTGAATGAAGGATCCATTGGAATGAATATACATACATACCCATACATGATTTTGAATTTTGCACACAGCAACAACGACAACCAGGGAAACTTGCCGATGACTGCCTCGCGAACGCTGGTTGGGTCATACCGACGGTACGGTAGGACCTTTGCCCGAAATGTACCAAAAAGAAAGCAGGCTAGTCCAGTCGAGCAAGTTTCAGTTAGTTGTATCTATATATACAAACAAGCAAGAAAAAGAAGAATCAGTGTAATCTAAATAACTACATACATAATTGCTACGCCAAAAATTAATTGTGTGGCTACGGTAATCTTGGTGCTACTGTAGAGGAGGAAATGGTGTTGTGCTTGGAGCCCGACAGGGAGGGGACCAAGGATACAAAAAAGAAACGAGCTTCGGCATGGTGGTCCCATGGAGCAAGGATGGTGTACGCTTCAATACTAGCTAGCTAGCTAGCTAGGAAAGTTATGGGGGTACTGGTAATAGGTATGAAACTGTGGGTAACAGGCACCGTTGCCCAAATAGAGTCGGCACGTTGTTTTCAGCCTGATTCAGTTCCCTTTACATGACTCAGCTGCGTGGGAGTAGGGGCTGTGGTACTGTGGCTGGTACTGAAATTGGCACAGTGAATAAACTCTGTTACCACCCACACCCTTGAGAATGGGTCAAGGGTGTGGTGGAAACAGACCACAGCGATTAGAGGACAGGGTGGAAACAGAAACCCAAGGGCATGAGTGTGGGTAGAAACAGTTCCAAGCGGATCCGGGATCTACCAGCTGTCTAACAAAGTGAGATGCCGGGACTAGCCAAAGGTCCCAACCAACCTATTTACACACAACACGACACATGTAGCAATGTCCCCCATTTTTCTGTTGTGGTGTCAGCAGATCCCAGAACACTGCCATTTCCAGCAGATCCAGATCCCGCAGAAGTCTCACAAGCAACAGATGCAGATGATGCCAACATGGTAGACGTCAACAACCTATAGAGATTCTCTCGGATGGAGAGGAAGGAAAAGGAGAGCACCAGAGTCAACAGGGTGTGGACAGCTACAAATTTACTGTGACTGGTGATATTGTCCCAAAACAATCCCCAGGGTTCCATGCCATGCAGTGTGGACCGCCAAAGAAAGCTGGGAAGGTCAAAGGAATCCCATTTATCAAGCGGTGGACGTACAATCCATCCGAGGCAAAGATGAAACAGTTTGCACTGAAGCTAGGAGCGAGCTTGCATTGGTATTGGCGAACCACCTATTTTACCAGCAGGTCCAGTATGGGTTAGGGTGAGATTGTACAAGAGGCCTCCACAAAACATGTTTGTCAATGGAAACAGAACCAGACCCAAGGGAAAGCTATTACAAGCAGCACAATCTAATAGCACAGAGTACACCGTAAGTATGAAACCAGACACAGATAACTGCCTCAAATTTGTGCTAGACGCCTTGACTGGGGTTGGATGGATGGACGATTTCCAAGTTTGCAAGCTTGATGCAATGAAGTGCTATGACAGTGGTGGCACCCTTCACAGGAAGACACAAATTGAGTTTGGACTCTAGACGACATGGTGGCTAATTAGATGTTTAAATTAAGTTTTACTAGCTAAAACAACTAAGTTTTACTAGCTAACAAAACAAACGGAGCCTCCTCCATACTTTCCTCCATACTTTGCCTCCTCCATACTTTCCTCCATACTTTGCTTCTAGATACTTTGCTTCTAGATACTTTGCTTCTTCGCCTCTTCTTCCCGCTTGTTGTCGATGAAAGGTCCGGGCCACCCATTTGACATGATGGCAAAAGTCGCTCCCATTATTGCACGCCTCTTTGACTGCATCCATGAACGTCGTGAACTCTTTGAGATCTAGTTTGTGGAATGGGCGGACACAGCCACAGCTACCGCTAGGCATCTTACCACAGCAGCACCTCCAACCTTCAGGCACCCATTTCTCATGGATCCCAACTCTCCTACTCTGCCAGTCGAAAGCTATGGTTTCAGCATGGCACAAAAAATCGAACTCGCTCTCCTTTCCACAGGCCGCCTTGACTGCCTTTGCAAAATCCAACATTTCCTTTTCGTTGATAATTTTCCTTCCACTCCTGTCCAGAGCATAGAACGTTTGCTCGGATGCAATATCAACGCCCACAAGTACCTGGGTACGACGACGCAAATATTGGCTAAACAGGACCCCACTGATTTTCCATCCTCCATTTGAGGAAGGATGCAGCAACTCGTCGTCCGTGGTAACCTGTGTTTTCTTCGCAGCTTTCTTCACTGGACTCTGGCTGCTGGTTCGGGTCACAGCAGCCGCACCAGTAGCGCTGGTATTGGTGTTCATGTTGATATGCTATCCAGAAATGGAACCAGTTTTGTGACTCACACCGTGTAAACACCCGAAAAAGCCAGAGACAGAAACCGAAAACAAAGACAGAAAACAGAGTAAAAAACACAGACAGAAAACAGAGGCAAAGCCAGTCGAAAGGCGGCAATAAAGACAGGCGGCAATAATGACAAGGCGGCAGAAATCTGAAACCAATGACATGACCAATGACATTAATCTGGATCTGGGTTAGGGTTACATCAGTCAGTCGTGACATGGAAGGATACATGAATTGCATTTTTTACTAAGGATACATGAATCTGTGACTGCATTTTTTACTACGAGTTTTATTGCTTTGTCACAAGTGGAAGGATACATACATTCAAAGTGGAAGGATACGGATACATACATTCAAAGTGGAAGGATACATACATTTTTCAGACGAGTTCAGTTTCCTTGTATCCTTGTATCTTGTATCTAAACCTTCTTGGACCTTGCCAAAGCCTTTGACCTTGCCAAAGCCTCTCGCCTTTCCATCCGGGCGGCACTTTTCCTTGAGTTCCATTTCCTCCTCTTCTGCGGCAGCTCTCCTCTTCCTCACAGCTTCCTCTTCGGCTCTCTTCTTCTTCCTAGCAGCTTCCTCTTCGGCGCGCCTCCTCTTCGGGCATCCTCTTCGTCTCGGTGCCAGCCGCGGCAGCTTTCATGCCTGCTTTCCTTGCAGCTTTAGCAGCTTTCTCAGCGGTTGCCTAGCATTCCTACTGCTTGCGCATTGAGTACTTCAATGAGCTTGGGTGTCCACTTGGCCCAATCACCACGGATCTGTAATGCGAGCCTCAAGTCAGAGGTAAAAATTGTAACTCTCTTTGCGTGCAAAGCACAGAGGTTGCAATCTTCAAACAAGCCAACCATGTAATCTTCGGCAGCACACTGGAGTGCTAAAAGTGCACTACCCTGAAACCTGAAGTCTGGTTCAATTTGAAGAGCAATTGTTCGACATTCTACTTGGAATTGGCTCTTCGGATTAACAAGTGGGTACTGCCTGGTATGTCCTAATCTCTCGATTGCAGCATCACCTGGCCTACTACTTCGACCATACTTAGCAAGAACTGGTGGGCCTCCTTTGCAGACAGTTTTCTTCTGGACTGAGCCGCTTCCTCCACCGCGGCTGCTGCAGCCGCTGCCTGTCTGACTCTCTTAAGATAGTCGGGATGAACCCTGGGTGCAGACTGCTTGGTTCTCATGCCTTTGAGTATTCGGAATGCACCAGAAAAGGATTGGAGAAGTACAAGAAAGGATTGTGAAACATACCCTTGTTCAAATTCAAATTCAAAAAGTTGGTAGTCGGTAACTGTGATGCAGCAGCGACTGTACCAGCACTGTGACATAGCAGTAGTAGCAATAGCACTAGTAGCAGTAGTACAATAGCACTAGTAGGAGCTGGTGAAGAGAGTGAAGAGAGTGAGTGGTTGTTTCGGAGCAAACTGCAGTTGCTCAACAACAACAACAACAACAACAAACAACACAACCACACAACAACAACAACAACACAACAACAACAACAAAAACAACAACAACAACACACAACAAAACAACAAAACAACACAAAACACAACAACAACAACACAACAACACAACAACAACACAACACACAAACAACAAACAACAACAACACACAACAACAAACAACAAAACACAACAACAACCAAACAAAACAACAACAACAACAACACACAACAACACAACAACAACCAACAACAACAACACACAACAACAAACAAACGAACCACACCAAACACAACAACACAACAACAACAACAACAACAACAACAACAACAACACACAACAACAACAACACAACAAACAAAACAACAACACAACAACACAAACAACAACAACAACAAACAACAACAACAACAACAACAACAACAACACAACACAACACACAACAACAACAACAACAACAACAACAACAACAGTTTGCACCAACCGTATCTTTCTGTTGGCACGAAGTTTTAGTACACCAGTAGCTCTGGTACAAAATCTCTGTAGAAGAGTCGAATCCCAGTTCGATTAGTCCAGTCCCATTGTTGCCAGGCCAACTCTTAGTGGCACGAAGTTTCCTGTCACTTAGAGAAACCCTGGTCAACGAACAACAACTTTGACTGTTTGAATCTTTTCAAATATTCTCCTCTTCTTCTCCCGGGCACAATCAGCTCACAATCTCACAAGCAACTCAGAAGCAGGTCACAAACACAAAGCTAACTTAATAAATCTCTGTATTCTAACCTCTACCAAGGATGTCTCATCTTCCCAAGAACTACCACAAATGGTCGTCTCCCCACGACAAGGAGGAGGTGAAAAGAATTGTCATTGCAAAGACTGGAAACCCCCCTCCAGATTACTGGTGGATGGATGAGGAGGATAGGGAAAGTATTGAGGAGGAATGCTTCCCATACAGACCTTTCGAAAAGCCAAAGTCAACCGCTCGTCGCCTCACGTATGAGGCCTCGTACACAGCCAAACCCAACCCCCATCCCAACACAGCCAAACCCAACCCCCATCCCAATCCCCATCCCTACACAAACTTCTTCGACGAGATCGAACAGGAGGAAGCCGTGGCATGCAATAATATGGAATATGAGCTGACTGAGGGCAGACTTGTGTTTAGGCCACCTGACTACATTGAGGACTACGCGGATCCAAGTGCTCCCTATCATCTTCACTGCACCAAGTGCCACCTGATGCCGTGCGTGACCAAGACTTTGGAGGCAAAGGCCATACTCAGGAAGGTGGTCAAGAACCAAATGATCAAACGACCCAAGTGCAAGAAACAACTGGTGGACAATCTAACAACCAGCATTGATAAAATCAGGTGCCAAGTTTTGGCAATCAGATACAGAAAAGTCAATGTGTCTGCTTGTGTTACCGAACATGCCCTAAGTAATGTTGCTTTCCGGGCACACTTACTACCCAAGAGTTTGAGATTCGACTTTCCCAATCCTGTGGACATACCCCGCAAAAGTGAGGAGGAGAAATCACAGGAGGAAGAAGCCAAGGCTCGTGCAGCTGCTGTTGCAAAGGCTGCCAAAGAGAAGAAGAGACAGGCAATGAAGCTGGCAATTAGGGACTTTGACTCTGACCATGATTCCTCCGACGAAGAATACTACCGCAAGTACATTGAAATTAAGCCATATGACCATAAAGGGTGGGCCCTGATAAATCAGATGACGAAGGAAGTGGATGAGATCATGAAGGGCAAGTATACAAAATGGACCTGCCGAGCTGCAGTCAAAAAGGCTGCAGTCAAAAAAGATGCAGTCAAAAAAGCAGCCACAAAAGCCTCTGAAAAACCCAAGAAGGACGACCTCGTGTGGTATAGTAACAGTGATGGTGATGGTGACAGCGACGGTGACAGCAGCAGCCAGCGACAGCGACAAGAAAGCTCCTGATTCTTCTACTGCTCCTGATTCTTCTACTGTTCCGGGGAACAGTAACCGGAACAGTGACAGTGACGGTGACAGTGACAGTGACAGCCACAGTGACAGTGACGGTGACAGTGACAGTGACAGCCACAGTGACACAGAAGAGCCCAGTGGCACAGAAGAGCCCAACACCCAAGGAGAGACAGAAGAGCACAAAGAGCCCAGCACCGAAGGAGTCATGGCCAAACTTGGTCAATTGGCAGCTGAGGGAAAGCTAATTTTCTCTCTCTCTGATTTGCCGGAATACAAGGAAGATGAAGAGGAGGTTGAAGAGGAGGTTGAAGAGGTCCCAACTCAGTCAGCCTCTCAGTTCTTCCAAGAGGTAGAGGTGCCAACTCAGTCCGCCTCTCAGTTTACATCTCAGTCTGCCCAGTTAACTCACATGCAAGAGAACCCCATTCAGGCAAGTACTGCCCTTGGCAAGAGAGCTAGCACGTCTGCTGAAGATTTTGCCTTTGCCAGGAGAAAGGCCAAGATCCCTAGGGTGTCAATTGAGCCCTCTGACGTGCCAATCAAGGACTACCAGGAATGCTTGGAGAACAGGGGCTATCAGTGGGAATGTTATGCCGACTGTTCATGTAGCAGTCAGACATTCTCAGAGTCTTGCAGTCAGCCTTTCCCTGAAGAGTACTAGAGTACCAGGAGGTTTGTAGTGCGAAGGTTTGTAGTGTGAATGCCGAGATGTGTGAAAGAGTGTGTAGTGTGAATGCCGAGATATGTGAATGACATGATAATGACCAAGAACAAGGAAAGTTAATGTTAATAGGTTTTAAAGTTAAGAATATCAAAACCTGGTATGTCCTCTGTGTTCCTCTCATGCTCAAATATCATGCATGCGGGCCCTGTGCCCTGTGCTCCTCCTCTGTGGTGCTCCTCCTCTCCCCCTCTCGCAACTCATGCTCAAATCTCCCATGCTCCAATCTCTCGCAACCTCTCTTCTTCTTCTCTGTCATGCTCAAATCTGGTGGGGGAACCGGTAAACAACCAAGCCCTCAACAAGGTTTTGTCCCAGTTTCTCCTCCTCTTCTTCCGTGATCCATAGCTTATTTTTCGTCTTCTTCCCCTTGAGGGTGCTACGCTTAGGAAAGCCTGGGACGACCAATGCAGCAGACCGGCAGTAAACATATTCCAGGGATTTGGTAACATTGTGCTCGAGAGACCCTGCAGATTGCTGCTTCACCCATTTGGGACTCCATACTCCAATAGCAACCTTTTTCAAAAGATTTTTAGTAAAATTCCCTTGGTCTTTGCTGAGCACTGGCCCAATTTCAATGTTCTGTTCCGCCATCGATTTCAGCTTGGGGTCCATCCTGGACACCATGAACATGGCAAGCGGGAGAGCAAAGCACCAGTATAGGGCTGGTTCAGAAGTCTTCAAACTCTTAAGGGACCCACATGACGAAAGTGGGAGACACCAGCCATAAGTAGACCTGAGAATAATTTGCCCAATGAAGTTCTGGGTGAAAGTGAGGTCGGTGACTTTGTTGTGGGCCTGGTAGTTTGACTGAGTGGGAATCAACTTGGATCCATTCAGTACGGTAGCATCAGGGATATGGTCTGCAAGGGGTTTGTAGTGGGCCACTGCCAAGAGTCGGGCGGTGCCATAGTTTGTGTTGGGGTCATACAATGTGTTAGTGTGATCCACTTTTTTAATCACATAACAGGCATCCCTGTGTTCTGGGATGTCTGGGTCCAGAAGGTAACCACAACCGGCGGCGCCAGGGTTTGGAAGGTAAGCATTGCCACTTGAAATGAGCTCCAGCAAGGGTGTCCCTTTGACGTATCTGTGCTCACACCCATTCCGATTCAATTCTTGCAGGATGGGATCCAGAACGTTCTCTACGAGTTTGATCTGTTCTTCAGCTGTCATTGCATCAATTTGGTTGGCCCTCGCTACACTCACAGGGCAGTTCAATTCCCAGTCCTCACCATCCCATTGTACCACATTTTCCTGATTAAAGAACCTGGCCCGGGGGAATGTGAAGGCGAGGGGTGTCCCGTCTTCTGCCAAAAAGTCACCATGGGTCCGTTTGACTGTATAAGCACCACGGGGGACAGCATCACGTTTCCAGGGTGGCAAAGGGTTGGCAACAAAACCTCCAACAATATCACCTTCTCCAACATGTGCCTGGGGTTGATGGCCATTGGCGCGTTGGCGGTGGCACTTTCTTTCCTCACGGTCCACAGCCATGTGGATAGTGTAGTCCAAAATTGGACCACAGCCAAATGCTTTCCCATCTCTTCCTGCTGTGGTCAAGAGTGCATTGCGCGGGTTCCGTCTGGGTACATTCTGTCTGGGCACCAGGGCCGTACCACCACGGGTAGCTGTACCACCAGCTACCGCGCGGCCGGATGAAGCTGCTGCTGCTCGGCCGGATGAAGCTGCTGTGGAAGCTGTACCACCAGCTGCTGCTCGGCCGGATGAAGCTGCTGTGGCTGTGGTGGATGAAGCTGTGGTGGATGAAGCTGCGGCAGCGGCGGGGCGTTTGATACGTCTGGGGGGCATCTTCTGATCCTCCTGTGGATCATGCTCTGCAGAACGTTTCTGAGGCGAGAAGTGAAGACGACGTGGTTCCATTTCTTCTGGATCCTCCCGTGTTCCATTTCTTCTGGATCCTCCCGTGGATCATGCTCCATTTCTTCTGGATCCTCCTGTGGACACCACCACCACCACTTCCTGGACCACACTACCACTACCACCACTCCACCACTACCACTACCACCACTTCCTGGGTGATTGTGGTTGGGTCGGTTCCAGTTGGGTCGTTGGGTCGGTTGGGTCGGTTCCATTCACAGGGTCGGTTCCATTCACAGGGATGAATTGCCCGTGAACGTCATAGTGGTCGCTCCACATGGACTGCCCATTGTTGTTGTTGGCGCCACCATGGCTCGGGTTGTTGTCAGACATCAGCAAAGAAAAACACTTGGACGGCTGCACACGGTGGTTGACTTGGACTGCGGGACTTGGATGACTTGGATGACTTGGGACTTGGATGACTTGGATGACTTGGACGGTGGACTTGGACTTGGACAATTTGGACTTGGGATTGATTTGTGCCCAGTTTGTGAGCCGGTTGTGAATTTGTGAATAGGTTCTTGTGAGCCGGTTGTGAATTTGTGAATAGGTTCGCTGCTGATGATGAAAGATGAATCCACCCACGTTGATGATTCAAGACCAATCCACGGTGGGTGGAGTGATGACGATGGGTGGAGTGACAGCGATAGATAGTAGAGAGTAGCTATGGATTGGAGTGACAGCGATAGATAGTGTTGGAGGTTGTATTACAGACACCTCAATACAAATTAGTCGTTTATCCCAATCTAGTTATAGGGGATATCTATATCTATTCTCTAGTTACATACATGGGGAGTTTAACTGATCTATATGGTCACCCCCTTCACTATATCCTTTGAAGTTGAATCAATCCCAGAAAACATGGAGAAAGATCACTTCTTGGAAATAGCTTAACAGTAAAACAGTATTTTACCTTTACTAAGCTAGAGTGTTACTAGAAACCAACACTATTTCCAAGAAGATTGCTCCTCGAATTTTCGAGGTATCGATATTGACCTTTATCCCATGGCAACAGCCTAGCAGGAAAAGGGCAACATCACGAAATCGTGCCTCACACTGACTCGCCGGAGGATCGACAGATCGACTCCGCAAAGGAATCAGCCAAACTGAGGTGTACCACATGGAAGAGTGAACGAAACTACACCATCTACATGCTGGAAGCAACCTCGTACGACAGAAACTGAATGAGTTACGGCTGATTGAGTCAACAAGGCTACAGTACGGAGCAGAGGCTACTGTACAGAGCCAAGACGAGTATCCGCACCGGTACCAGTACCGTACAAGAACAGCTCACAGGAGTGAGCGACAAACACTATCCTATGGAACGAGCAGAGATCAAGGATCCAGCAGCCGTACCGTACTAACGCAAGAGTGGTAACAAGAGTTGCCACGAACGCCAAGCTCCCGGGAGTGAGCCGGAAGCAAACTCACAGGAGTGAGTGAACAACCGAAGACACCAAGCTCACAGGAGTGAGCGAACGGAGCAAGGATCCGAAGCAAGCTCACAGGAGTGTGAGCAAGAACCATCAAGACTTTGTGCTGCGCAACACAGCCATCGTATGACTGGAGATACACTATCCCAGTACTGATACGGAAAACAACTAAACGAAGAAGACTCGACTCATCACACGTTCGAAGTGCAGGAGTGGTCGCCAAGCTATCTAGCTAGCTACCACGACAAGTCCAACCGGAACGGAGCAAGGCTCTGTATGGTACGGTACGGAGCAGAGGCTACTGTACGGACGCACCGAGCCTACAGGAGTGACACGAACGACAAGTTGTGTCAAACGAAAGAGGAACAACGCGAGCGTCTAGTGTCAGTCAACCGGAAGGAACAACACGAGTGTGTTGTCGACCAGAAGAGGAACTAGATAACAAGTTCCAACAAGAAGAAGAATTACCACAGAGGTACTTCCGTGGGAGTTCCTCCAGCCTCACTATCAAGCCATCGAAACAGTGCCGATAAAGAAGAGGTGCAAACCTTTTTGCGGCACGAAACAAGCCAAATTGCCAGGCCGGTTACTCGACAACGACAGGTCCTACGGAAGGACTGTCATACACGGAAGTGGGCTACTATACTGTCACTGACAGGCCCTGCAGAGTGCAAGCACTCGAAGAGCCGAGGGAAGACAGATTCATCCAACGGCGACAGCGCCATTGCGATAAGAGCGAATTTGCGAATTTTGCAATTCCGCCGGCCAAGAACAAGACGACCGAAGCAATCGAACGACGATCGCTACTACTGCTAACGCTTCAACTGTCAACAAGCCAAACAAGAGTCCACTACTGTCAACTGTTCGAGACGAACAACAGTAGATCGGCAGGAGTGTCAGCCAGAAGCTACCACTACTGCGACAGCAAGGACAACAAGAGCAGCCGACCGCTACCACTAGACAGTGGGTGCTACCGCTGCAACAAGAAGAACGGCGACGGCTACTACTAGCCAGTCACTGCCGCTATACCACAAGATTGGCAACGCCATTGCGTTGACAGTGGCAACAGCGCCATTGTGTCCATTGGCAACAAGAGAAGAAGTGCTGACACGAAATTTGTGGTTTGTGAAGCCTTTCCACGGAATGGCAAAGAACAAGCCAAGCTGTTCACCGAACAGCAGCCACAAGCCGCTGAACGTCACAGCCAGGCGAAAAAGGTATCTTTTAGCGAAAAGTATCTTTCCAGCAGGAGTGTACCGAGCCAGATCAAGATCTCTCCGTACGACGGCAACAAGAGAATTTTCCGTGTGGAAGATCCAATTCTCCGAGCGAGTTGCTGACCCATGCAGCTACTCGTACTGGTACATCATGCTATGCAACATACCGTGGTAGATCCAAGCAAGCAGTCATGCACCGGTACCTGTACCCGAGCATGCACAGTGCTAGCTACCGGTAATAGCTAGCGCTAGAACCAGCACAAGAGCTTCAAGCTTGCAAGCTACAGGAAGCACAGGAGTGCTTCCACCAGCATCAAATATTTTCTTTGGAGTTGTTTGAGTTTACTCAGCACCTCCTACAACTTTCATGGAGTGTGTATTGTGGCATCCAAGCCACAGCACCTCCTACTACCTTTTATGGAAAGTGTATTGTGCAACTGAAACACAGCACTTCCTCCACTGATTACAGGCAAACCTGAGGCCACAACAGCCTCCAGGTAGGCAACCACAGATACCATTACAAGACCATGCCCTTGCTATTTGATCACAGCAAGTGCACAGGAGTGTGAGGGTACCCAAATCCAAAACCTACAATCCTACAAACAAAATCATCATAACATCCGCCTTTATAGGCAATGCCGCAACCATCAACGGCACCAATGGCCACAACTACACGGCCAACAACCATCAATGGCTACAACAACCGCCAGCATCAATGGCAACAACAGCCAACAACGGTATCTACGGCTACCAAACCGATTACAACGAAATCGACCAAACCAAAATTCGAATTGCATCTACAATAACGGCAACTGCAACAACAGCAGAACGACAGTGAACGTTGAACCGAGTAGCTAGCTACAAGCGACTCAAGAGTTCACAAGACAAGGAACCAAGCCACAGGATGTGATGGCTGGAGCATTCAGAGTTTGACCCACAAGCGGGAACCTGAATCAATAGAAACACAAGAGGGTGCACCCTCAGCTCCACTGCAACACTGTAATCAGAGATTGCAACCAAACCTTAGTCTCAACACCAACAAAAAGAAGAACGTGAGTACATCAAATCAAGCCAACAAGATACAACTATCGGAAGCTACAAGTCATGCCACAGCCTCTCACACGGATGTAAGAGCAGTGACAAAACAAACATCTTGTCCTGCACACAGCCAACTCCAGGAGTGTAAGAGCAGGCATCACCAACCAAAGGACCTAACCGACTACATTCACCACTCGACACTCATAATCGACCACGTCCAGGTCCATGTGAGCCCATCAAGATGGGTCATCCAACAACTACTACCAGAATTCTTCCTTACAATTCCACAACTTCCAAGGGATTCCAGCACCAACTAAAAGCACATTGTGGCAAGGAACTCCCTAGTTTCCAGCTACTACAAACAGTTCTCCCAAGTTGTCGTATAGAGCCTGACTTACCAGTCTCAGCTACGGCAACACCGCATGACGGTACCAAGTGTACCAAGTGTACCAAGTGATGGCACCAGTCACCACGAGTGGCGACACCAGCAGTCACGAGTCTCACATGAGTATAAACACCCATGACAAAAGGAAACAATAACTCAACCATTTCCTCATTCCCTCTTCAGACATCGAGACCATCCAAGAACTAGGTTCAGTCGAACCCAACATGTCCGTGACTTCCAAGCCACATCATTTCCAGCTTCCATGCACCTTCCAATAGGGCATCACTTTCCACAAGTCTACGACTTCCAGAAGCTTCACACAGCTTCCATCTACGAAGGGCTTCCAGCCCCATCAATTGTCAATGCAGCCAGACTCCCCAGTCTGAGCCGCAGGTACACCAAGTGACGGTATCATCCGACACCAGTCTTCCAGGAGTGGCATCACTCCCAGCAGGAGTGCCAACCACCAAGACTTTTCTGATGATGAAAATGTCCGTATTGTCTCGCCTCCACCGCTCAGCTTCTCGCCACCAAGCGGGATCCCGAGCAACTACTTCCAAGGTTTGTTTCGGACTCATTGCAAGCCAGTCGTCACGACGACGTGAGACTTGATTACAAAGCCTTTCCAAGGTAGGAGCCTGCTTACCCAAGCACTGATAGACGCTTTGAGTGCTATCGATTATCAGGAATCCTAGAGGCATCGTCTCAAGCTCCACAGCAATCCAAGTTGCATCAAATGTCAAAACCAACCAAACCAGCATTGGCTACAACAAGTACAAATCCTGCCACAGCCATCTCACAGGAGTGTGCCGTAACCTGACAGCAGGAGTGTTATTGATAAAGTTGTACCCACTAAAACCAAAGTCTCAAACTTTTTTCAACCTTCCTTTGAATTGTCCGATTGATCTATCCAGATTAACACACCAGATCGACTGACAAGAAGCGATCATGCCAGATCGAATGACACGAGGCGATCGAATCACAAGCAGCGACCCCGAGATCGATTCAGTTTGACTCTCGGGATCGACTCAGAAGATCTATCATGAGATTGCAAGTGCGACCGCAGAAGCCTATCGAGGCAAAGCTTATCAAGGCAGAGCAAGCTTACTCAAGCAAGGGTAGACACATCAGTGCTACCGGGATATCTTCTGCGGAGGATTCCCACAGTTCCACAGGAACAGTTCCACCATGGAACCGACTCAAAGCAAGCAAGCAGTTCGACGGAACCCCACAAGTTGCCAGCACCCATCTCCAAGCGGTGCAAACCAAGGTCCACATCAAGCAAGCACACATTCATGTACAACAAGTCAAAGCCATCTGATTCGAAGAAGAGGAGGAACGGATGAAGGAAGAAGCTTCCACAACTGGGAAGAAGAGGATTCCAATCCTCTGGAAAGACAACAGCAGGACCACCAACACTTCTGTACATCCAACAAGAAAGAGGCGTCACGTTCCATCCCAATGGACAACAAGCTGACTCCATATAGCTACCAAGCTATTGCACAGACTCGTGCTCACCTGATTTCCAAATCCAGTGTCAAGCCTGAATGGATTGATGTTTCCACACATCATTGGCCATTGAGAACGCATGGCATGATTCGATTCAGTTCAGTTCAAACACCGGCCATCAAGAGCTACATTTGAGTCAGCGAGATTGCAGCGGGAACTTCCTAGTTTCCATCTACAGCAATACCAAGTGTCCGGAACTTCCCAGTCCACGGTTCAACCAGTGATCGGAACTTCCCAGTTTCGAATACAGCAACATCAAGTTACGGCACCAATCGCCACAGCAAATCCGCAGGAGTGGCAACACTCAAAGGAGTGGTAGCCACAGTGGTTTTTCATGACGACACTGTCGACATGTCCACATTGACTGTGAAAGATTTGTCAACACTGCTATTGACGACAAGCTTCTCGCCACAAAGCGGAATGCTGAGCAACCTAGCAATTGTTCTTTCTCGACCAACAACTGTTACTTATGGAGCCACCATCATTACATTAATTATTCGTTCACGGTATCCTTTATGGAACCGTGCAGGAGTTTGTTGGAGGTTGTATTACAGACAACTCAATACAAATTAGTCGTTTTTCCCAATCTAGTTATAGGGAATATCTATATCTATTCTCTAGTTACATACATGGGAGTTTAACTGATCTATATGGTCACCCCCTTCACAATATCCTTTGAAGTTGAATCAATCCAGAAAACATGGAGAAAGATCACTTCTTGGAAATAGCTTAACAGTAAAACAGTATTTTACCTTTACTAAGCTAGAGTGTTACTAGAAACCTGAACTAGATTAGAGAGTAAGCTATGGATTCGGAGTGATAATCACCGCACTAGAGGTAGATTGGAGTGATAATCACCCACTAGCTATGGATCGGCCGATTGGCCACGATAGTAGTACTGTACCGATTGGCCACGATAGGCCACGATAGGCTGTACCGGACACGATAGGTGCCCACGATAGAAGGTAGGTACCGCAACACCACTGATAGAAGGTATTGGATAGAGATAGCCACGGACTGTATCACGATGGATGGTTGGGTAGATTTAAGAAACCACATTTGATTTAGGAAACCATACCACATTTGATTTAAGAAACCACTTAAGAAACCACCATTGGACCCGCCACACGCTGCACCCGACAAACTGGACCCACACCACCAGCAAAACCAGCACAAAACCACCGCTGGAAACCACACTGGAAGAAGGAAACCATTTCGAAACCACTTGGGTAGGCCCGCTACAAAAGACATCAATTTCCACACTACAAAATCACAAAAGAGGACCATTACAGCTCCATCATTACAATTTTACGGCTCTAGCATGAATCAAGCCCCCAACGAACTACCTGCTATCCCTCCAGCACACTCTGTGCCCTATTATCCCAAAGCTCCTCGCCAATGTGCCATCAAGGTGTTGTGTTCGTGCCCCATTATGGACGCGTTCACAACCTGAGCCCATTGTGGACATGATGCGGCTCCTTCTTATCATTGGTGTTCCAAGCCTCTTGTTGTGACTCTCATCGCGACTACAATGTTGTCTGTCTCATGTCGTTGACCATGTTTACCTTGGAGTTGCTCTTGGCTGAAACACCACATGGCTATCTGATGGGTCACCAATTCCAAACCTGGGGGATGTTGGCATATGCGACCGAGAGCTCATCAATGTGTTGTCGATGATTGATTTTTTCATGACTTGCATTCCAATGACTTCTACCCCTCCAGGAACACGCTCTTCTTATGGGCAACCATTTGAAGACAGCCGGGGCATGACGGCTGGATATGAAGATGCATGGCGGAATCGGGATGTCCTCCAAAAGCTGCGTGCCAGAAAGGAACAGATCGTAACTGGCGCTGGTATGAGGCTTTCCAATCCCCAGACCCTAGCAAAAAGGAGCTCCATTTCTCCTGGTGCATGCACACCAGCGGTTCACAGACACATTACTTACCGCCGCCACCATACTGTTTTCATCCAACAACAAGACGAGGTGATTAGCAACCAGATCACAGCTGTCAAGTTGGCCCGTAAATGTCTATATCACGATCTGAGTGATCCCGACAAGAAAGCAGAACAGCGCGTCCGACGAACCCAGATGAAGAAACAATTGGATGTTAGCTGTGGCAAGCAGTGGCTGTCGCGGCTGTGGCAACAGCGAGGAGGATAAAAGGATTGGAAGAGGATTGTTAGTATTTCATGTGCCATTGACTCGCTATTACTCGTGTGACTCACTATTACTCGTGTGATTCACTGTGGTGTGTATCTGCTGGATGCAGTTGTTAGCTTTTAAAAATACCGAAGTTTTATTATTTAGGCTGCACCTCAATAGACCACCCGCTGAACGGAGCCATATTGAACCGGAGTACCTCAGACGTACAAGGACGCCCACATAGGAACCGGCCTAGTGCAAGCCCCCCACCGGAGAAGTTTAAAAACTCCGGAGGGTGCTTTGCAGCTAACTAACTACCCGTGGCTGGATTGCCATCTATTTCTACGGCAGGACCCCTTCTGTGCGTAGTTACCCTGTGTCATTGTTCTGCGCGGTGCGCGCATGCACGTCCCTGAGTGCCTTGTTGACGACGGGCAGCCAATTGGCAAGCCACGCTTTGATGTCGCCTGGGCCCTTTGCCATTTGCTCGTCAAGCGGTCGCTTGAAGATAAAATCCACTAGCTCCGCTGGGATCAGATCCGCTTTCTCGTAGATGAGTTCCACCTCCCGCTGAAGCTGCTCGTGCTTCTTCTTCCACTGGTCTTCCCTATCTTTGCCATGCCGGGCAGCATTTCGATCCTCCCACAGGTTCCACCACTGCTGGATGAGCAGTGAGGCTAGGTTGGTGACCCAGAGCTGTCCTGTCTTGGTTGTCTCCTGGGAGCCGACCCGATGCAGGTATGCATCTTGATGCTTAGCCCAGTGCGTGGACAAACGTCCTCTCAGGAAGTTGTCCCAACCAATGAGATTTTGAGTGTCCACGAGATCCGATGAGATCCAGTCAGGGTAGATGCACAAAGAGCTGGCTGGAGTGGAGAGCTCTGCTTGGAGCCTCACTCCTCTGACAGTGGGAATGGGCCAGCCA